GTTTTAATACTTCTGGGTGTCAGGAACGGATTAATTGTATTTACATTATTTCTTATGGGGAAAATTGATTCGAAAATCATCTATTTCGATAATCATCGCACTTCCAGGAACGGATTAACAATGATAAACGAGGGACCACTGTATTTTGAATATGTAAACACAGATGAAACATGAAATAAACACTTTATTCAATTTAAATATAAATCAACCAAATTTATCAATTTCTTTTCCCCAAATGATACCTCCTGTCAGAAAACAATTGAGCTACTTCACTTTTTACATCAGCTGTGAGAAATTCTTTTTCAATTCTTATTAAAGCCAGGTTGGTTAGTCGCTCCTGTGACATTCAAGACATCAGATATGCTTTTATTAATTTCGGTTTTGAAAATGACCTTTCACAACTTGTGACTGAAAATGCAATTGTAAGCAGTAATGTTTATGAAAGACAGCATCGGAAAGACATACCCTCCATACTGTAGTAAAGACCCCACAGCATCTTTAGGATCAGGGGGAATTCTATTCCCACCAGCTCAAAGGAGCATCACAAAATCAATAATTTCGTCATGTAACTGAATGGCTGCCATATCATTATCATAATAATTTGCAAAGTCTGAACATTCCTTTCTTAATTTTTCTCTTTCTTGTTCATCTTCAATTACTACTGAATTCAAGTTCAAAAGAAACAAAAATCGGTCAGTGAGTCCTTGATGATGGACACTGCGCTCTTCAATTTCTGTTTTTAATTGGTTCACAATCCCTACCATTACTCTATTCATTTCTTCTTGTGCCATCAGTCTACTATCTCTTGCTGACTGTCCAGGCATTATTCTTCTTCTCTTTGTTTGTGCAATTGGTATTTGCCAATTTTCATAATATCATTAGCCAAATGTGTTGCATTGTGATTAATTTCGTCATTCTTCAAAGTTCAAGATATGAATAAGTCCTTTCAGATCACAAGAAGCTTCGTGGAACCCCATTTTTGGATCCTGCAAATGTTTTGAGACTTTCTCCACTGATGATAAAACCGAGTACCAAAAATTTAATAAAGCTATAAACAGGAACTACTGAATTGCTTTATCACCACTGAAATTTCAAAATCACTATCTTATTTCCCTCTCTAATTGGATGCCCCTCCCATTTGGATGCCCAGGGCCACCACCCCTTCGGGGCCCCCCTCTGCACGCCACTGAATGGACCCTATCAGACTGAGCCATGTCATGTCTGGGAGACATCATTTGGAGAAAGCCTATTTTTATGTAGTTCCCAGACTGTATAAGAGTTACCAGCATCAATGTCACTTGTCAGTTTTCTAAACCATTTAAATAACATCTGTCAGACACCACAACATCTTTGGACCTTGATATAGGGCATTCTTCTATGCTTGCCTAACCTACAGGCATGATCTACTTACACTAGTGGATTCATCTAATGGTGACACTGCCTCCTCCTGCTTCTACACACCTGATTGCAGTATATTAGTCACTTCTCTAAGCATGTGCTGTGTTTTTCTCAAGACTGATGGATTAAACACTCCAGGCAGAGGGACTGATTGCCTGAAACTCCTCATCTTCCACCATTTTTTTCTGTATTGGACTGAAGAAGCCACTGACTGACAAAATGTTTCCTCAATAAAGATTCTCAAATGTTGCACAAGTGTCTCATTCTTCTACTTTACAGGTTTCTAAACCCTTTACATCACTCAGAATAATGTTTATTCTGACTCAGAAGAGCTGTAAAGCTCCACTAGCATCTACACCAAGCTTTAGAGCATAGCCTGTAAGTTTGTCCTTGCTTCTAAAAATATCAGACACTGTTCGTTTCTTCACACCATATTCCTCACATATCCATGTCACTGAAATGCCAGACTCAATCTTCTGTATTACTAGTTCAAGTTTCTGCTTAACACTGAGAAGATGTTACCTCTTGGCACCACCACTTGTTGTAGAAGCCATTGTTAACTGCACTTCAATTAATATGATAATAAAGTCACACAAAACACTAAATTCATTGAACATCAAAGACTGAGTGACAAGTGTATGGTGTGAGTAGCATGTGTGGAACAATAAAAACACTTCCTGGACATGGCTGCTCTGGCCCACACTGGACAAACATTAGAGTCTTAAGGCTTGGCCTGATACAGAAGACAACCGAACACTATCACTATCGACAAAATTCAGAATTATGGAGTTTCATCCATTTTGTCTGATACTTTCAGTGTTTGTCTGTCGAACTTTATTTAGCCCAAAACTGCCAAAATCTGTAAATATGGGGTTTATTATACCTACTTTTGATTGAATATTATTAAATATTTCTGAAAATTAGGAAATTAGGAGGAGGTGTGGAGTTACTAAAAGTATTAGTCAGAGGGCTGAACTAGGGCTGTTGAGGTAGTTTGGTCATTTAGAGAGAATGGAACAAAGCAGAATGACTTGGAGAACATATAAATCTATTGGGGAAGGAAGGCGGGGTAGAGGTCATCCCCAAAAAGGTTGGTGGGAGGGGGTAAAGGAGGTTTTGTGGGCGAGGGGCTTGGACTTCCAGCAAGCATGCCTGAGCATGCTAGATAGGAGTGAATGGTTCTTGGGACCTGACGAGCTGTTGGAGTGTGAGCAGGGTAATATTTTGAGAAGGGATTCAGGAAAACCGGTTAGCCAAACATAGAGATACGTTCTCACTGCTAGTGCTCCAAATGTAGATCAACATTTTATTTTTCCTGCCTCCAAAATTGGCACGACTGGCCTGAGATGCCTGGTCAGCACAGAACGGGTATTAACACTCAGTGTGTGCAGCATTAAAAAATCTGGGAGCACTTAGTACCTTGTGGGGGCACCAGTTCAACTGAGTGCCAGCTAGAGCAAACAGCACAGCAAACACCAGGGATTCACTGATGTCATGTCGTATTAACACTTCCCTTTTAAGAGGAAAGTGATGTTGACCCTGAGTTTAGTGGTCCTGAGGTGAATGTGGCCACAAGTGGTCAAGGAAATATCAAAAACCTCGATAATAACACATGTGCAACACCCTTTCAATTTTGGTACCACTGGTAGTTTCATCCTGCCAGAATGTCCTATAACCTATGCCCTAAGTAAAGAGATACAATTCTCGAATGTATAATACGTGTTCAGCAGGCTGGCTGGCTGGTTGGCTGGCCGGCTGGCTGGCTGGCTGACCGACTGACTGGCTGTCTGGCTGGGTGGCTGTCTCTATCTCTGTCTATCTGTCTGTATCTCTCTCTGTCTCTGTCTATCTCTTTCTCTGTCTATCTCACAGGTACACAAATACAATTATACATAGTGTAAATTACCTAGGATAACAAGAAATCCAAAGTGCTATGCTGTGCTTGTAGATATAATGCATAATAAGCCTGACTGGCAAGTAATACGCATTTTCACTTGTTCAGGAATCAAACATGACTACTGTGCATCTCTGCATCATGTATAATACCGGCCAGCTGGGTGGCTAATTAGCTGTCTCTATATCTATCTGTCTGTCTGTATCTATCTCTGCCAATCTATATCTCTGTTTCTGTCTATCTATATCCCTGTCTCTATCTCACAAGTACACATAAATACAATTATACATAGTGTAAATTACCTAGGATAACCCAAAAAATCCAGACAAAGTGCTATACTGTGCTTGTTGATATTATGCATAAGCATGACAGGCAAGTAACATGCATTTTCACTTGTTCAGGAATCACATGTGACTACTCTGCATCTGTGTGTGTAATGCCTGTTGGTTCATAAGTCACTCTCTCTCTGAGACAGAAAGAGAGACAAGCAGAGATATAGAAAGACAAGCAGAGACAAAGACAGATAAACAGAGACAAAGATAAACAGAGAGCTAGACAGATAGACAGACATGTTTATGTGTAACAGTGAAAACAAATAAAGCCAAGGCAGTGCACACTCATCAAATGTCACTCCACTGCTGCACTGTCAGCAGTGGGGTGACACTCATCTTACACTGTGTTTCAAGGAAACATTATTATTATTATTATTATCATTATATACTCCTGCATGTCCAAAACATTGCTGGGACCTATAAATACTATGCATATATTTCTACACAATAGTATGTGACTAAGGTAGGTGAAACTGTCTACCTGTCAGTGTGTTTATGACTATTTGAGTACTATTTCAGTACCTAATATTAGTGTCAGAACTAAAATTGGCTATGAAATCACAAAAACTCCTACAAATTGTAATTATCAGAATATAAAAATTATATAAATTAAAAAAAATGAGAGAAAAAGGTATATCAGCAACACTTCTGCAAGTGGCAGTGCTTCATGTTGCCCTCGGGTGAGTGACAAGCGCCGGCTTTGTGGCCTTGTATCTTTGTAACTACTGACTAATTTTTTTTTTTTTACACTATGTAAAAAATATTCATTTTTTTTTTTTTTCGAAAATATTCGGAGCACTGGGTGAGAGAACGTAGATCTATGTTTGGACAGTTAAGGGGTTTAAGGAGGGGTTTAGGATATTGGCAGTTTGGAGGCATGTCTAAACTGTCACATCTGAGCACCTCTGCAAAGACAGTTATTATGTACGAGTGATGGTGAAAGTGTTGAATGATGATATAAGTTTCTTCTTTCTTTTTGGGTCACCCTGCCTCGCTAGAAAATGGCCGACGCGTTAAAAGAAAAAAAAATCTCAAATGCAAGTGTTGGTAATGGCCACCTGGAATCTGGTAATTGTAGGAACAAAAAGCGGTTGTTAAGTATTAGGAGCATTTCTACGATTTTCTCGGTGGTTATTTGAAATTGTGGTCTGGGAACAATCATAAGGTGAGGTTCTGCTGTACTGTAATAAATATTGTTCAATCAATAAACAAAAGTTTATGATACACTATATTGGTTACCAATAATTCATTAGTTTGGGTTCATTATGTTTGTTACATGTAGCTACCTTATATACTTTCTTTCAACGTACTGGCTGTATCCCACTGAGGCCATACACTTTATATACATAACATAAAAAACTGAATCATAAAAATACCTTGATCCTTTAAATCCTCTTTGTCCTTGTCCACCTTCACCTGGAGATCCATCTCTACCAGGCAAGCCATTAATACCATCCTGTCCACTGACACCAGGATCTCCCTTAATAAAAAAAAAAAAAAAAAAAGCACATAATTTAACCATTCTGTCCATTTACATCAGGACCTCCCTTCAAAAAAGATGACAGAAATTAACCAGAATATTTTAGTGAATACGTACTGTATTGGTATGGGAAAACATGACCCCAGAAAAAAAAAGGGCAGAGAGCAGGCTGTGATTTGATCAAGATGAAAGGAATCATAAAATACTGCACTAACCCAAGATGACTGGAATTACCTCTTACAACTCTGTAGTTTATTTTTTATTATTTTTTTAAATTTTATATCCCTCTATATAATGTATAAATAAAGAAGAACTTACTCATAACCATGTGCATGCTTTAAGAAATTAAATTTCCAGTAAATAAATCATGAATGGTTTGACTTACAAGAATTTTAATGTAATGATACCTTGCAGGAAATTACAGCTCTTTCACATCCACCCATACATAATGTTATTAGTGAACTACAGGTCCTCCATCACAAATCCGGCATCATTGGGACCTGTAGTGTGCCGGATTACTGAGTTTGCCAGATTACAGAGTGTTTAGGTTAGAATACACTTAATAAAATTAACTAACTTGACTGTCACAAAGTTCATTGAACATCGGCAAAAATCAAACATTTCCGCTACTTTGAGCCCAATTTCAAGGTACTCTTCGTCACGAAAGCAATCAAAATCATGTCTATTTCTGTAATATATCTTCCATTCTATCAAATGAGACCAAAAACACGAGAATACAACCATAAAATCCATGCGAAAATATACCGCAAAGAGGCGGCTAATGGCTGAGAAGTGAACTCCCTTATTTATCGTCCGTCTTTTTTATTTTTGTTGTACGTTAAGAAGCATCTTTCCCTCATACACTGCCCAAATTTCAATAAGACAGCCCAACAAACAACTGAGAAAAAAAAATATTTACCAAAAATCATATATGGCAAGCCCCAGCCAGGTACTGGAAATCAGTCACTGACTTTTTTGGGTTATTCCTAGGTTCTCTATACATACACTGCTATGTATGATAATCTGTATAACTGTATTTATGTATACCTAATAAACTTACTTATTTACTTACTTCTAGTCTGTCGACCGAGTACAAGAAACCGCCCATTCACTTATTTCAACTACCCAATATAGTGGCCAGAAATTGGCAATTTGGCCAATTTCACACAAATTTCAACAGATGCCAATTTCAAAATAGGGTCCAGAATAAATAATGCAGACATTCCTGGCACTAAAATAACATTTTCTCTGTTCATTAGTCACGACTCCAGGCCCCTCTTATATTACTCTTGTGTTCCATTTGGAATTTTTATTCACAAAAAAATAGAAGATTTACTGTTATGCAGACTGCTGCATTATTGTAATAATTGTATAAATAATGTCAACCCATTCTTGACTCTGTATTGGAATTTGGACTGGCAGGCAGACAGGTATTGGACGGTGACGTCATTTGTTTACTCTTGAGCTTTGCTAAAGAACAGAACATTTTCGCTACTGTGAGCGCAATTTCAAGGTACCTTTCATCACGAAAGCAATCAAAATCATATCTATTTCTGTAATATATCTTTCATTCTATCAAATGAGACCGAAAAAATGAGAATATAACCATAAAAACCATACAAAAATATACCGCTAAGCGGCCGCTAATGGTCGAGAAGTGAACTCTGCTATTTATGGTCTGATTTCTTTCATTTTTGGTATACGTTAAGAAGTATCTTTCTATCATACACTGCCTAAGTTTCAATAAGATAACCCAACAAACAATTGAGAAAATGACAATATTAATAATAATAATATCTTCATTTACTGCACGTACATGTACAGTGTATACAGGCCTAGCTGACATCAGTGACATACTACTATATACAAAGCCGCTTGTTAGGCAGAGTATTTCAAGTAAATTAGGTCAGTGTCCCAGGATAACACCCACACCAGTCGGTTAACACCCAGGTACCCATTTACTGATGGGTGAACACAGACAACAGGTGTAAAGAAACACACCCAATGTTTCTACCCTGGCTGGGAATCAAACATTTACCAAAAATCACATATGACTAACCCAAGCCAGGTAATAGAAATAAGCCACACTGTCTGACTTTTTTGGGTTACCCTAGGTTCTATACACAAATGTTGCTGTGTGATAATCTATATAGAGAAAATAACTTTTTTGTTTCAGGTTTATGGTACAGTATGAGTATATATCACAGTTAGCCCTGTGCTATAATCCGTTTTCTCTAATATAAGCCCCCAAGACAGGGATAGGAGAATGGTATTTGTATACCATATCCTCTTCATACCTCCATTGAACTGCTCGGTAATATGCCAAATATTATTCATTCTAGAGTATTTAACATGTTTTATGTTATTTATATTGTTTATTATGTCATATTAGATCAACTGTGATAGGCAATAAGCTGTAGTGTTGATATTAGCATAATAATAAAGCACATTCTCCTGCATCACAAGACTGAGCTCATGGCAACTGACAGTGGCTTCAAAGCCACCTTATCTTTATTTATTTATTTATTTATTTATTTATTTATTTATTTATTTTGTCTTTGCAAACAGTACATTGAGATTTTTTATTTACAATAGTGGGTTGCAATGGAGAGCCTCTATTATGCCTAGGCATTATGGGCCAACTTAACATTATTGGCTTACAGTCTACTTAATACTAAGTAGTATATACTAGTTGTACAGTAGGATAGTAATTATTTCATAGTTGTACAGTAGAATATTAATTATAAATGAATCAAAATGTACTGTGAAGGTGCTTTACACAACGAGAAGCATTCTTTTATTCATTGGACCCACGGCTAGGGCTAAAAGTAAGCAGGTTATAACAAATGGAGAAAAAGAAATTAGAATGACTTATGTAGCAAGTAGCACCACCAAACAGTACCAGCAGGTTGGTGTGGCGACCCTGGAAATTTGAAATTATGCTAGTCAAAATTAGTGCCGAATAACTGAAGGAACCAAATAACTGATTGCCGGATTTGTGATGGCAGACCTGTACAGTGAAAAATGGAAAATATTAAATTTGTTGCCACTGCATTTTTCCACAGGACCACTGCTGGAACTGCACTACAGCAACATTGAAACAGAGGATGCTGAAGGTACCTGGAGACACATCTTGAATGAAGTTATTTTTAAATTCAACTCAGTGTCACAAGAAATAGCCTAAGATAACAATTCACTTAATTCTTGATACACTTAATACAAATTTTCAAAGAAACTCGGTTCCTTTTTTCCTTGAACCATTGTACTGTACAAACTTTCTTGCTTCTCCCATGACTGCACAGCAATAAATGATCCTAGACATTTAAATTTCTTAAACTTCCTGAGTAAGACAGAGCAAAAAAATATTACCTAATATGCCCTGATGCAAGGAGGGAGGAGTATATGGAGAGAAAAAGAGAGGTTAAGAAGAGTAGTGAAGCATTGTAAAAAGAGAGCAAATGACAGAGTGGGTGAGATGTTATCAACAAATTTTGTTGAAAATAAGAAAAAGTTTTGGAGTGAGATTAATAAGTTGAAGAAACATAGGGAACATATGGATTTCATAATAAAAAATAGGAGAGGAGAGTTATTAACCCTTTCAGGGTGCAGAAGCCAAATTTCAAAGTGTGCACCAGCATCCAAGAATTTTCAAAAAATAATTTTGTTATTTTTTCATATGAAATGGTAGAGAATCTTTTTCTGAAGGTAATAAAACAAAATGTACGAAATTTGATAGAAAATTGACGAAATTATGCTCTCGCGAATTTTGATGTGTCGGCGATATTTACGTATCTGCAATTTTGCCGACTTTGACTCCAATTTTAGGCCAATTACAGTATTCCAGTCAACCAAATTCTTAGCTATTTCACTAGTATTACTTCTGTTCTATCGATTGAGCACAAGAAATCGCCAAGTCAACTGTTTCAACAAGAAAATAAAGTGACCGGAAATTGGTAATTTGGCCAATTTAATGCAAAGTTCAAAATATTCCAATTTCAAAATAGGGTCCAGAATAAACAATGCAGGCATTCCTGGCACTAAACTAACATTTCCTCTGTTCATTAGTTACGTTTTCTGGTTTTACAAATTAATTGCATTTTGATTTTTTATTCACATAATGAATTTTTATTGAAACCAAAAAATAGAAGATTTACTGTTATGCAATACTGTAATAATTGTATAAATAATATCACCACATTTGTGAATGTATATTAGACCCACCAGCTGTCATGTATTAGACTTGTGAGGCCATTTGTTTACTCTTGAACAATGGCAAAAATTTAACATTTCTGCTACTTTGAGCTCAGTTTCAAGCCATTTCCAATAATAAAACCAATCAAAATCATCTCTATTTCTGTAGTATATCTTCCATTCTATCAAATGAGACCAAGAAATTGCAAATACAACTATAAAAAACATATGAAAAAACACTGCAAATTTGCTGTTTTAACCCTTTCAGGGTCGACAGGCCCTCTCAGAGACTTGTTCTCAGGGTCGCCCAAATTTCAATAAAAAAAAAAAAATTATTTTTTCTTATGAAAAGATAGAGAATCTTTTTCCCGATCATAATGACACCAAAACTATGAAATTTGATGGAAAACTTACAGAATTATGTTCTCGCGAAGTTAGCGGTCTCGATGATGTTTACGCATCTGTGATTATGCCCACTTTGAGCCTTATTTTCGGCCAATTCCACTGTGCTAGTCAACAAAAATCATGAATATTTCACTAGAACTCTACTTTTTCTATTGAATGAGTGCAAGAAACCACCCATTTAGTGATTTCAACTATCCAATACAGTGGTCAGAATTTAGCAATTTTGCCAATTTCACACAAATTTCAAAAGATGCCAATTTTCAAATAGGGTCCAGAATAAAAAAGAAAGACATTCCTGGCACTAAAATGACATTTCCTCTGTTCATTAGTCATGTCCCAATGCCCCTCTTACATTCTTTTGCTTTCCACTTTGAATTTTTCTTACAAAAAATAGATTTACTGTTATGCAGACTACTGCATTAGTGTAAAAAGATGGTATAAATAATATCGGCGCACTTGTGAAAGAATATTCGACACCAGTTGACGTGGACTGGACGCTTAGCATGATTTGTTTACTTTTGAACTTTGGTAAAACTCGAACATTTCTGCTACTTTGAGCTCAATTTCAAGGCACTTTTCATTGTAAAATCAGTCAAAATCATCTCAATTTCTGTAATATGTCTTCCATTCTATAGAATGAGACCAGGAAAACTAAAATACAACAATAAATACCATATGAAAATACAGTGCAAAGTTGCTGTTTTAATCCAAAAACACGGTCAAAGTTTTTTTTTCTCATTATGCACTGTGTGCTGCAGGATTTTTTTTTACTGCGCACACTGACCACATAGACCCATTCTTTCATATGTAGGCCTACCAGCTTTCTCTCACTAGATTTGAGGGTGCTAGATTTTAGGCGTACTAGTACGTCCAAAAACCCTGGTGCGTAAGCCGTACTAGTATGGCCGAAACCCTGAAAGGGTTAATCGAAAATTACGGTCTCAGTTTTTTTTCTCTCATTATGCACTGTGTGCTGCAGGATTTGTTTTATGTGGTGCACACATGTCACATAGATGTATTCTCTCATATCTAGGCCCAAATTTACTGCTCACAGCTTATCAGAGTGAGCTGAGCTCATGGCGTAGATCTACGGTTTGGACACTGAACGTAAAGCCGTAGATCTACGGCACGGATCCTGAAAGGGTTAAATGGAGAGTTAGAGGTATCGGGAAGATGGAGGGAATATTCTGAGGAATTGTTAAATGTTGATGAAGATAGGGAAGCTGTGATTTCATGTATAGGGCAAGGAGTAATAACATCTTACAGGAGTGAGGAAGAATCAGTTGTGAGTGTGGGGGAAGTGTGTGGGGCAGTGGGTAGAATGAAACGGGGTAAGGCAGCTGGGATTGATGGGATAAAGATAGAAATGTTAAAAGCAGGTGGAGATACAGTTTTGGAGTGGTTGGTATTTTATTCAATAAATGTATGGAAGAGGGTAAGGTACCTAGGGATTGGCAGAGAGAATGCATAGTTCCTTTGTATACAGGCAAAGGGGACAAAAGAGTGCAAAAATTATAGGAGAATAAGTCTCTTGAGTATACCTGGTAAAGTGTATGGGAGAGTTATTATTGAAAGAATTAAGAGTAAGACAGAGAGTAGGACAGCAGATGAACAAGGAGGCTTCAGGAAAGGTAGGGGGTGTGTAGGCCAAGTGTTTACAGTGAAACAGAGGTGAATAGCATTTAGATAAGGGTAAAGAGGTTTTTGTGGCATTTATGGACTTGGGATGGAAGGGTAGGGGGGGGAATGTGGCAGATGTTGCAAATGTATGGAATAGGAGGTAGGTTACTGAAAGCAGTGAAGAGTTTTTACGAGGATAGTGAGGCTCAGGTTAGAGTATGTAGGAGAGAGGGAGATTATTTCCCAGTAAAAGTAGGCCATAGACAAGGACGTGTGATGTCACCCTGGTTGTTCAATATATTTATAGATGGGGTTGTAAGAGAAGTGAATGCTTTGGTGTTGGCAAGAGGTGTGGGGTTAAAAGATAAAAAATCTAACACAAAATGGGAGTTGTCACAGTTGCTCTTTGCTGATGACACTGTGCTTTTGGGAGATTCTGAAGAGAAGTTGCAGAGGTTGGTGGATGAGTTTGGTAGGGTATATAAAAGAAGAAAATTACAAGTGAATATAGGAAAGAGTAAGGTGATGAGGATAACAATATATGAGGTGAATCACAGAATTGACGAGGGAAAAAAAGTTGAGTGGTGCACTGAGGAGTCTGTGGAGACAAAGAACTTTGTCCATGGAAGTAAAGAGGGGAATGTATGAGAGTATAGTCATACAAATGCTCTTATATGGGTGTGAAGCATGGGTGGGGAATGTTGCAACAAGAAAGCTGAAGGCAGTGGAGATGATGTGTCTGAGGGCAATGTGTGGCATAAATATAATGCAGAGAATTCATAGTTTGGAAATTAGAAGGAGGTGCAAGATTACCAAGACTATTATCCAGAGGGCTGAGGAAGGGTTGTTGAGGTGGTTTTGACATGGAGAGAGGGTGGAACAGAATAGAATGACTTCAAGAATGCATAAATTTGTAGTGGAGGGAAGGCAGAGTAGGGGTTGCCCTAGGAAAGGTTGGAGGGAGGGAGTAAAGGAGGTTTTGTGTGCGAGGGGCTTGAACTTCCAGCAAGCATGTGTGAGTGTGTTAAATAGGAGTGAATGGAGACAAGTGACTTTTAGGACTTGACGTGCTGTTGGAGTGTTAGCAAGGAAACATTTATGGAGGGATTCAGGGAAACTGGCAGGCCAGATTTGAGTCCTGGAGATGGGAAGTACAGTGCCTGCACTCTGAAGGAAGGGTGTTAATGTTGCAGTTTTATAACTGTAGTATAAGCACACCTCTGGCAAGATAGTGATAGAATGAATGATGAAAGCTTTTCTTTCCCATCCTACCTTGGTGGGAAACAGCCAATTTGTTATTAATAATATAATAAAATGCCCTGAAATACCTTTTACTAGATGGCTAAATATCATTCACTGTCATTTACCATGTATTATACTCCTGAGAGCAACCATCATTTTGAGGTGAGGGTATTACAAGCTGCAGTAATACCCTCTATTACTGCAGCTTGTAATAGTGACTTAAGATTATCATGCCAGGGAAGACAAGTCTGAGAAGCCTGACTGTTGCTCTCATGTGTTTGTTGCACATGAGATAGCGATATGTAGGTTACCTACATATACTTCATCTGGGAGCTGAGGCCCAATTACAGATGGGATGCCCACTGTTTCGGAAATCCTATTATATGCTGGATGAGAGTGCTAAATTTTAAATTGTTATCAAGGTACAGACCTAGGAATTTTCCCTCATTTTGTATTACAATGAGTGAATCATCTATCATTATAATGATGTGTACATTTGTAGCAGTTTCCAAACATCATTCAGAAAGTCTTGCCCATGTTAAAAGTGAATTTACTGGTAGTCACCCCGGTAGGTATTTTTATGAGCTCATCATTAATCGTGTGACTGAGAAAAACAGGATCTGAATGGAAGATAACAAAAGTTGAGTCGTCAGGAAATAGAACAAGTTTTAATATACGAGAAGCAAATGTGATCAGAGCTAACAAGTTTTCCTCTATATTCTAAATTTAACTGACCATACTTACAATACAAACTCTGAAAATATGAGTACTACACATGATAAATATTTCCTTTGCTAAAAAATTAATTTACTTTTCCACATTTTTTGGTTTGATCAATTAAATTTTTTCTTGGAAATTATTGTACTTCTAATGTACTCAGCAAACAAAAACTGCACCTTTCTGCCTTGAATTCCTCTTGCTCCATCTAAGCCATTATCTCCTCGTGCACCTTTTGGGCCAAGGTACCCTGGGAGTCCATCATCTCCATGTCTGCCTCTTATTAACTGTCCAGGCAACAGATCACCTGGCTCACCCTTTTTGCCAGTTCTTCCAGAGTAACCTGTAAGCAATATCTTTTACCAACAAGTATTCAACATTAATAAGAGATGTTGCCAGTAGTATGGGAGAAATCAAATCTGAGCTTTTGTAGAAAATGCATTACAGCACTACCATTATATATGCATGTATAAAAATTAGTAAAATATACTGTACTGTATACTGTATTTTTGGTTTTCTTATTTATAGTTTATATTAATTTCTGCATGCATAAACAGTGTTTTAAGACTTATTTTTTTACCAAGTTCAGATGTCAAGCTTCCCCTTGCCATTTACAGAGCTTCTTACAAGGATACTATAAACTTATGTTTGGTATGGTAGTGTTTACCTGTAAGCTATACTGTAAAAGGTACTTGAATAAGTATGAAAAAGGTAATGCAATTTTTATTTTGCACTATCATCAACACTACACCAAATACTTGAACTGCCACTGCTTAGCTTGAGCTGTTTTTCCATCCAGTTGTGTTTCAGTACAGTATATGATGAATATATATTTACATTCTAATAGGACCACCATCTGAGCCAAATATAGTTTCAACATAATGCAAGCTGGTTCCAACATAATGCAAGCTGGTTCCAACATAATGCAAGCTGGTTTTGTTAGGTCAAAATAATGTCTGAATACAACTACAGTGGAACCTTTACTTACGAGTTTAATCCATTCCATGACCTTGGTCACATCTGGATTTGCTCATTTGCGGACTCAATTTTCCTCATTTAAATTAACTGAAATGGAATTAATTCATTCCAGTGGAGTTCCAGGCACGAGACAATATTTCAATAATTTCCCTGATATCAATTCTACAGCTTATTTATATATCACAATTCATGTAATATGACATAATAAACAATATTAATAACATAGAAACATGATATACACACTAGAATGAATAAAATACATGTCATTACATATGTGGTTAGTGTGCTACACTCTTAATGCTACACTTCATTGCTACACTCTTAATGCTACACTTTGCCACTGCTGCTTCATGATATCTGCCACTGCTGCTTCATGTTGTCTGCCACTGCTTCTTCATGTTGTCTGCCACTGCTACCTCATGATGTCTGTCACTGCTGCTTCATGATGTCTACCACTGCTGCTTCATGATGTCTACAACTGCTGCTTCATGTTATCTGCCACTGCTACCTCATGATGTCTGCTCCCACTTTTGCTAGCATGTTGAAGAGCTTTCCAACATGCGAAGGTTGAGGGGCAGTGTTAATCGGACAGGTATTGGAAGTGATGTCATTACACAGATAACCCGCACATAAAAGAGAGAAGCTTATGACGACGTTTCAGTCCGACTTGGACCATTGACAAAGTCAGTGTGACTTTGTCAATGGTCCAAGTCGGACTGAAACATCGTCGTAAGCTTCTCTCTTTTATGTGCGGGTTATTTGTGTAACGTTCCAGTCACGGTATTGTGTCTTTTTGTTATTGATGCTATTAGTTTACTCTTGAACATCGCCAAAGAACAGAACATTTCTGCTACTTTGAGCTCAATTTCAAGATACTTTTAGTTGTAAAACCAATCAAAATCACATCTGTTTCTGTAGTATATCTTCCATTCTATCAAATGAGACCAAAAAAAATGAGAATACAACCATAAAAACCATACGGATATATACCGCTAAGGGGAGGCTAATAACTGAGAAGTGAACTCCATTATTTATGGTCTGATTTCTTTCAATATTGGTGTACTCTAAGAAGCATCTTTCCATCATACATTGCCCAAGTTTCAATAAGATAGTCCAACAAACAACCGAGATCCAATTCCCTAGATCAAGAGCAAGAGCCCCTCACCAGCGTCAAGGAACCTCCCTTGAGGCCTGCTCGTATCTGGAAATTTGGCTTGTGTCTGGAAGCAAAAATTCGACCAAGCAACTGCTCATATCTGGAAAAACTCACATGTGGATACACTCATAAGTAGAGGTTCCACTGTACTTATACTAACATAGTGCAGGAAAAAAAAATTACTCAACAATTTCCAGCCTGACTTGGTCAACAAACCAGTTGAAAGTGAACTTGCATTGTTCTACATGGTTCAAACCTTATCATTATTAATTAATGATGCAAGAGGGTGATATAACTGTAGAGTTTTTTAAAAACAATTTGGAGAAATAACAAAAAACTGGTATCTCTTTTAACAACACACTGTTATAAGTTTGAGCCAATTAGAATCGGTTATTACTTGAAGCTACATTTAAAATAATTTTATAGTCATTTCTGGATACTGGCCTGGAGCAAAATACATATATGTAATTTTTCCTCAGTTTATTTACAATAGACTCTCACATAATGCAGTGGTTACAGTCCTGAAAACAGTGTTGTATTAGAAACCTCTGTTATATGAACTGAAGAATATATAGGGAAAAATGGGGTCATATTCCTGAGCTTAAAAAAAAAGCCAGACAAGAATACCTAAATCAATTTTTTCTTACTTTACATTCTGGCCAGTGGTACTAGCAGGTCTTGAGATGTATGGAGATGGTTTGGTGTGGCCCTACTGGGCTGTTGTTGGGCTAGGGGGATGGCTGTGGTACTTGGGCTGAGATGGATGCATTACACTAATAACCTACACTGAAACTTGTGACAAAGTTTTGGCCCTGACTTGGACCATTAACTAGTCAAACAGAGAAGTGCGAAGGAAAGAAAACTAGAACATATATGAGAGGGGGTGGGGGACAGGAGTGGTAGAACAGGAGGAAGCAGTAGTAGTGGTAGTTAGTATAGTAGTAGTAGTTAGTAGTAGTAGTAGTAATAGTGGTTAGTAGTAACAGCAGTAGTAGTCAGTAGTAGTAGTAGCTAGTAGCAATTAGTAGTAGTTAGCAGTAGTAATCAGTAGTAGTAGCTAGCATTATTAACAGCAGTAGTAATTAGTAGCAGTAGTTAGCAGTAGTAGTTACTAGTAGTAATAGTAGTTACTAGTAGCAATAGTTTGTAGTAGTTAGCAGTAGTAGTTAGTGTTAGCAGTTAGCAGCAGAATTAATAGCAGTAGTAATAGTAGAAGTTAGTAGTAGTAGAAGCTAGAAGTAGTAGTAGAAGCTAGAAGTAGTAGCAGAAGTTAGTAGTGGTAGAAGTTCGTAGTAGTAGTAGGTAGTAGTTAGTAGTAGTTAGTAGTAGTAGTAGTAGTAGTAGTTAGTAGTAGTTAGTAGTAGTTAGTAGTAGTAGTAGTAGTAGTAGTAGTTAGTAGTAGTAGTTAGTAGTAGTAGTAGTTAGTAGTAGTAGTAGTTAGTAGTAGTAGTAGTAGTAGTAGTTAGTAGTAGTAGTAGTAGTAGTAGTTAGTAGTAGTAGTTAGTAGTAGTAGTTAGTAGTAGTAGTTAGTAGTAGTAGTTAGCAGTAGTAATAGCAGTTAGTAGCAGTAGTAATAGCAGTTAGTAGTAGTAGTAGTTAGCAGCAGCAGTAGTATGTAGTAGCAGTCCTTCTCCTGCACATATTTGTCAATAGCCAAAAATATCTGACAAAATCAGACCTCGAGACCCAGAGCAGGGAAACCAGGGACGTAAGACCATCTACATCACAAGCCTAGAAGGCACTTATGATGTAGCCAGTAGCACCAAGGAATCATGAGATGCCTCGCTATATGTTGTTGCCAGGCTAGTATAACTTTTTGTCTCGCCCAAAAACCTACCAGGATAAGGTATTACTTTGGGCATTATAGAGTGCAGGTTTACCTGACATACTTTAATGACACAGACTGAGGACATTTATTTACTCCTTTAAGCATTATTATTATTATTATTATTATTCTTTCAACAAACTGGCCGTATTCCACCAAGGCAAGGCGACCTCAAAAGGAAAAATGAAAGCTTCTCCTTTTAAATTTAGTAATATATACAGAAGGAGTTACTAGCTCCTTGCTTCCGGCATTTTAGTCGCCTCTTATGACACGCATGGATTACCAAGGAAGAATTCTGTTCCACTTCCCCATGGAGATTATTATTATTAAACAGTACTAATGGGAAAGTGTTGATCCTTATTGGACACTGGTGACATTTTCCTCTTATTATTACAAGCATTTTTTCTAAATAAAAACTGTGTCATGCAATAACTAGTTTCTTTTATTCCAATTACATTTTCCCCCTTTTTACGAGATTACAATTTCACAAGAAACTATGTATGATCTGCTGAACTGTCACAAGTAAATTATCTGTTGAAGTGTTACAAGTGCATATAGTCTGATGAACTGTCACATATGAAACAAAGCTTACCTGCAGATCCAGGCACACCATCAAGCCCCCTTAACCCTGGAAGGCCAGTTTTCCCTGGGCTACCTTTTGGTCCTCGTGGACCAGGAAGACCTGGTGGACCTATTCGCCCTTGTATCCCATTTTGGCCAGGTGTTCCCACATCACCAATGTCACATGGTTGTCCTGTGAATGAAGGTAATCAGCTATATAAAACCATTTTATGTCCTTTTTTGTAAGCATCATGGTTAGGGGTGTTGAAGTATTGGCAAGCATCATGTTAGAGGTGTCAAAGTATCGGTGTCAGTGGCACTGGCTAATGTTGATATTGGTGTCAGTATCAGTGGGTATCAGCTAATTTTGACAGCATCTATATCTGCCTAAAACTGAGTATCATTATTGCTATTGCCAAAAGTTTGGTATCATCCCATCCTTAACCATGGATTAGTATCCATTATTAGGGATAGTTCAAATTGTACTGTCTCCTGCAGGGTAGTATAAGTCAAGCTAAAACATCCTTTTATGATATTGTACTGATACTCATAGTAAGAAAATACAGAAATGTATTCACCCTATCCATACTGTCTTAGGTGGAAAGTATGTACACAGCAGCCATCCTGAGAGGTACTACCATCCAATCATATGAGTCTTAAACAGATCCCAATTAAATTTATTACATTACTGGTCTCTTCTTTGTCTTGCAATGTCTCCAACCCTCCTTCAGATTGCAGGCGCTGCCTTTTCCACCTCTAGGACTCAAGTCTGGCTAACTGTTTTCCCTGAATCCCTTCATAAAAGTTATCCTGCTTACACCGCAATAGCATGTCATTAAAAACTACTCATCTTTATTCACTCCTATCTAACACACTCACACAAGTCTGCTGGATGCTCAAGCTCTCCTAAAACTTGAAAGCCTCTTGTACCACCTCCCTCCAACCATTCCTGAGATGACCCCTTCCTTTCTACCTTCTACCCCAGATTTATACACCTTCTTTATCAACCCATCCCTCTCTATCTTCCCTACAGGTCTAAACCCCCTCAACAAACCCTTCTTAGTTCTCTGAATTATACCCTTGGTCACTCTACATCATCTTTTAATTTCTAAACTTCGAATTCACTGCCCACTCGAACTAGAAAGATTCCCATATCCCAAAAAAGTAATTTTGGATATCCCTGCAACTCATTTGGGTGTGTAATTACTAACCTCTTGCTCTCATTTCTTCCCAAGTAAACAACCTATCCTTGTCTGCCTAGTTTACAGCCTGAAATATTTTGTGTGCTATAATCAGATAACCTTTTTTCTTTCTTTCATAGTTCATTCCCTTTTACTTGGGAATAAGAACAATGTCTTCACTTCAAAAGTTGGGTCATCACTCGATTATATGTATATGTGAATTTATGGAAAAGCACTTAGGTACCAAAGGACAAGAAGGAGAGGGAAGAAAAAAAATCAAATTATCTATGTTTAAACAGTGCATAAGTGTACTTTTTCTGTGAAAATGCTACTTACAAAATTTAGTGCAATCTACATAATTATATACAGCACTTATTAAACTCATAATATGAAAATACTGTGCTTCAGTACTTACTCAAATATGGAAAACAATCATCTCCCTTGACTCCTTTATGACCTGGTAAACCATTACGTCCATTAGCACCCATCAATCCTGGTTCACCTGCAGGTCCTGTGAAGCCTTTGGGTCCTTTGGGACCCACTATGGCTCGCCCTCGCCCAGGATAACCTTTTGGACCTAAATATAACAAGATGATTCAATTACGTATTTCTTGCTTTACTCCTGAAAATTATATCACTTCTCTAGAGCCATAAAATAAATTATATATATATAAAATACAACTGCTGTATTCATATTTTGAAAATTATAATTTCCAGATCTCTAAGACAAAATCAAATAAAATTTTAATTAAAACTATTTTTGCATCTGTAAAATTATATTATTGTACTTTTCCTTAAATAAACCTTTTTAAATTTCATTGTAGTGCAATGTTCTTAATGTTCTTATTAGTGGTCAAACATAAGGATATAAAATGGCCCAAAATGTAGGAATAAAAGCTAATTTAGCAATATGTACTATAAGCACTACTGATAACTGAGGATATATACCTCTAGGTCCAGGAACACCAGGAGGACCTGGTAGACCATTAGTACCCGGTTGACCAGGACGTCCATCTATGCCCTTACTTCCAAAAGCAGGATCCCCTGGAAGACCCTTTAAGCCAGGAATACCTGGTGGACCCCTTGGGCCACGTGGCCCAGGTTCTCCAATCAGACCAGGGTAGCCTGAAAAAGATGCAATTTTGGGACTAAGAACTATTATGGGAGAAGGTAGCATTATTTCACTGTTTTACTGCTTTATTCTGAAAATGCCCACACTGACATATTGCAAATTAATGATTCAATTATAAAGTAAAATAGACTTAATAATAAGAGATTTTTTTTTTTTTTTTTTTTTTTTTTACAAGACAGCCGTTTCCCACCGAGGAAGGGTGACCCAAAAAGAAAGAAAAAAACTTTCATCATTCAACACTTTCACCATCACTCATACATAATCACTGTCTTTACAGAGGCGCTCACATACGACAATATCCCAAACTTCTCCTTTACAGTGCAGGCAATGTACATCTCATTTTCAGGACTCAAGTCCGGCTAACCAGTTTCCCTGAATCCCTTCACAAAATATTACCCGCCTCAGTGTTATGTTAAAAAAAAAAATAAGTGAGTGGGTTTACAAAAGCTACCACAAGACACTACAAATATGTGACAGCACTGAATAGAGCAGTGAAGAAAGAAGCAGTAATTGGGAAAGATGGTTGACAAGAAGGTGGCACTGCAGGTTTAGCTATACACTACAGAGATGTAGCACGTCTCACTGTTTTGGGTACTTTTACTGCTAGTAAAAGAACATAAGAATGTATGAACACTGTAATAGGTCTACTGGCCCATACTTGGCAGGCCCTTCTCAAATCCAACCATTCCTACACAAATAAATGTCCAACCTATTCCTAAAGCTACCCAAGGAATTAGGTTCAATAACCCATAACTGGAAGGTCCCACTCATATCCAACCCTTTTCACTCATAGGTATAGATATAGGTAGTAGGCTGGTAGACAGCAACCACTCAGGGAGGCACTACCGTCCTGCCAAGTGAGTGTAAAACGAGAGCCTGTAATTGTTTTACATGATGGGAGGATTGCTGGTGTCTTTTTTTTCTGTCTAATAAACATGCAGGATTTCAGGTACATCTTGCTACTTCTACTTACACTTAGGTCACACTACACATGCATGTATAAGCATATATACACACATCCCTCTGGGTTTTCTTCTATTTTCTTTCTAGTTTCTGTTCTTGTTTACTTCCTCTTACCTCCATGAGAAAGTGGAACAGAATTCTTCCTCCGTAAGCCATGCGTGTTGTAAGAGGAAACTAAAATGCCGGGAGCAAGTGGCTAGTAACCCCTTCTCCTGTATAAATTACCGAATTTAAAAAGAGAAACTTTTGTTTTTCTTTTTGGGCCACCCTGCCTTGGTGGATACAGCCAGTTTGTTGAAAAAGAAAAAAACTTATTGTCCTTATTACTTTTCCTTTTATATCCACGAGGAAGTGGAATAAGAATCTTTCCTCCGCAAGCCATGGGTACTGTAAAAGTCAACTAAAATGCCGGGAACGATGGGCTAGTAACCTCTTTTCTTGTATAGTCTACTAAAAAGAAAAAGAGGAAAATTGTCAAAATGGGATGTTTGAATGTGTGTGGATGTTGTGCGAATGATAAGAAAGAGACGATTGTGGATGTTATGAATGAGAAGAAGCTGGATGTCCTGGCTTTAAGTGAAAGAAAGCTGAAGGGGGTGGGAGAGTTTCAGTGGAGAGGAATAAATGGGATTAGGTCAGAGGTTTCAAATAGAGTTAGAGCTAAAGAAGAAGTAGCAATAATGTTGAAGGATAAGCTATGGAAGGAAAAGAAGGAGTATAAATGTATTAATTCAAGGATTATGTGGAGTAAAGTAAAGGCTGGATGTGAAAAGTGGGTTATAATAAGCGTATATGCACCTAGAGAAGAGAGAAGTGTAGAGGAGAAAGAGAGAGATTTTGAGAAATGAGTGAATGCATGGGGAGTTTTGAACCAAGTGTGAGAGTACTTGTGGTTGGGGATTTCAAAGCTAAAGTGGGTAAAAATGTTGTTTAGGGAGTAGTAGGTAAATTTGGGGTGCCAGGGGTAAATGAAAATGTGGAGATTTTAATTGAGCTATGTGTAGACAGAGGTTTGGTAATAAGTAATACCTATTTTATGAAAAAGAGGATAAATATATATTTTTTTTTAAAAAGTCAGCCATCTCCTACCAAGGCAGGGTGACCCAAAAAGAAAGAAAATCCCCAAAATGAAAATACTTTCATCATCATTCAACACTTTCACCACACTCACACATAATCACTGTTTTTGCAGAGGTGCTCAGAATACAACAGTTTAGAAGTATATATGTATAAAGATACACAACATATCCCTCCAAACTGCCAATAAATAATTTTTTTTTTTAACAAGTCGGCCATATCCCACTGAGGCAGGGTGACCCAAAAAGAAAGAAAATCCCCAAAAAGAAAATACTTTCATCATCATTCAACACTTTCACCTTACTCACACATAATCACTGTTTTTGCAGAGGTGCTCAGAACACAACAGTTTAGAAGCATATACGTATAAAGATACACAACATATCCCTCTAAACTGCTAATATCCCAAGCCCCTCCTTTAGAGTGTAGGCATTGTACTTCCCATTTCCAGGACGCAAGTTCGGCTATACAAAAATAACCAGTTTTCCTGAATCCCTTCACTAAATATTACCCTGCTCACACTCCAACAGATCATCAGGTCCCAAATACCATTCGTTTCCATTCACTCCTATCGAACATGCTCATGCACGCCTGCTGGAAGTCCAAGCCCCTCACCCACAAAACCTCCTTTACCCTTTCCTTCCAACCTTTTCGAGGACGAACCCTACCCCGTTTTCCTTCCCCTTCAGATTTATACGCTCTCCGTCATTCTACTTTGATCCATTCTCTCTAAATGACCAAACTACCTCAACAACCCCTCTTCAGCCCTCTGACTAATACTTTTATTAACTCCACACCTTCTCCTAATTTCCACACTCCGAATTTTCTGCATAATATTTACACCACACACTGCCTCCAACCGCCTCCTCGTTGCTGCATTCACAACCAAAGCTTCACACCCATATAAGAGTGTTGGTACTACTATACTTACATACATTCCCTTCTTTGCCTCCATAGATAACATTTTTTGTCTCCACATATACCTCAACGCACCACTCACCTTTTTTCCCTCATCAATTCTACGATTAACCTCATCCTTCATAAATCCATCCGCCGACACGTCAACTCCCAAGTATCTGAAAACATTCACTTCTTCCATACTCCTCCTCCCAAATTTAATATCCAATTTTTTTTTATCTAAATCATTTGATACCCTCATCACCTTACTCTTTTCTATGTTCACTTTCAATTTTCTATCTTTACACACACTCCCAAACTCATCCACTAACCTTTGCAATTTTTCTTTAGAATCTCCCATAAGCACAGCATCATCAGCAAAAAGCAACTGTGTCAATTCCCATTTTGTATTTAATTCCCCATAATTTAATCCCACCCCTCTCCTGAACACCCTAGCATTTACTTCTTTTACAACCCCATCTATAAATATATTAAACAACCATGGTGACATTACACATCCCTGTCTAAGACCTACTTTTACTGGTAAGTAGTCTCCCTCTCCTCTACACACCCTAACCTGAGCCTCACTATCCTCATAGAAAACTCTTTACAGCATTTAGTAACTTACCACCTATTCCATATACTTGCAACATCTGCCACATTGATCCCCTATCCACTCTATCATATGCCTTTTCAAAATCCATAAATGCAATAAAAACTTCCCTACCTTTATCTAAATGCTGTTCACATATATGCTTCAATGTAAACACTTGATCTACACATCCCCTACCCGCTCTGAAACCTCCTTGCTTATCTGCAATCCTACATTCTGTCTTATCTCTAATTCTTTCAATTATAACCCTACCGTACACTTTTCCTGGTATACTCAGTAAACTTATTCCTCTATAATTTTTACAATCTCTTTTGTCCCCCTTCCCTTTATATAAAGGGACTATACATGCTCTCTGCCAATCCCTAGGTACCTTCCCCTCTTTCATACATTTATTAAACAAAAATACCAACCACTCCATCACTACATCCCCCCCTGCTTTTAACATTTGTCATGATCTCGTCAGTTCCAGCTGCTTTACCCCCTTTCATTCTACGTAATGCCTCATGCACCTCCCCCACACTCACATCCTGTTCTTCTTCACTCCTAAAAGATGATACACCTCCCTGGCCAGTGCATGAAATTACCGCTTCCCTTTCTTCGTCGACATTTAAAAGTTCCTCAAAATATTCTCGCCATCTACCCAAAACCTCCATCTCCCCATCTACTAACTCCCCTACTCTGTTTTTTAACTGACAAATCCATTCGTTCTCTAGGCTTTCTTAACTTGTTTAACTCACTCCAAAATTTTTTCTTATTTTCATTAAAATTCCTTGACAGTGCCTCTCCCACTATCATCTGCTCTCCTGCACTCTCTCACCACTCTCTTCACCTTTCTTTTACTCTCCATATACTCTTCTTATAACACTTCTGCTTTGTAAAAACCTCTCATAAGCTAACTTTTTCTCTTTTATCACACCCTTTACTTTATCATTCCACCAATTACTCCTCTTTCCTCCTGCACCCACCCTCCTACAACCACAAACTTCTGCCCCACATTCTAATACTGCATTTTTAAAACTATTCCAACCCTCTTGAACCCCCCACTACTCATCCTTGCACCAGTCCACCTTTCTGCCAATAGTTGCTTACATCTCACCCGAACTTCCTCCTCCCTTAGTTTATACACTTTCACCTCCCTCTTGCTTGTTGTTGCCATTTTCCTCTTTTCCCATCTACCTCTTACTCTAACTGTAGCTACAACTAAATAATGATCCGATATATCAGTTGCCCCTCTATAAACGTGTACATCCTGGAGCCTACCCATCAACCTTTTATCCACCAATACATAATCTAACAAACTACTTTCATTACGTGCTCTATCATACCTTGTATATTTATCCTCTTCTTCATAAAATATGTATTACTTATTACCAAACCTCTTTCTACACATAGGTCAATTAAAGGCTCCCCATTTTCATTTACCCCTGGCACCCCAAATTTACCTACTACTCCCTCCACAACATTTTTGCCCCACTTTAGCACTGAAATCCCCAACTACCATTATTCTCACACTTGGTTCAAAACTCCCCATGCATTCAATCAACATTTCCCAAAATCTCTCTCTCTCCTCTACACTTCTCTCTTCTCCAGGTGCATATACACTTACTATAACCCCCTTTTCACATCCAACCTTTATTTTACTCCACATAATCCTTGAATTAATACATTTATAGTCCCTCTTTTCCTGCCATAACTTATCTTTCAACATTATTGCTACTCCTTCTTTAGCTCTAACTATTTGAAACCCATGACCTAATCCCATTTATTCCTCTCCACTGAAACTCTCCCACCCCCTTCACCTTTGTTTCACTTAAAGCCAGGACATCCAGCTTCTTCTCATTCATAACATCCACAATCATCTCTTTCTTATCATTTGCACAACATCCAAGCACATTCAGACTTCCCACTTTGACAATTTTCTTCTTATTCTTCTTAGTAATTATTACAGGAAAAAGGGTTACTAGCCCATTGTTCCTGGCATTTTAGTTGACTTTTACAACACGCATGGCTTACGGAGGAAAGATTCTTATTCCACTTCCCCATGGATATAAAAGGAAAAGTAATAAAACCAAGAACTATTAAGATAAAATCAAAGAAAACTCAGATGAGTGTGTATAAATAAATGTGTACATGTATGTGTAGTGTGACCTAAGTGTAAGTAGAAGTAGCAAGACGTACCTGTAATCTTGCATATTTATTAGACAGACAAAAGACACCAGCAATCCTACCATCATGTAAAACAATTACAGGCTTTCGTTTCACACTCACTTGGCAGGACGGTAGTACCCCCCTGGGTGGTTGCTGTCTACCAACCTACTACCTACTAGGTATATAGCACGTAATGAAAGTAGTTTGTTAGATTATGTATTAGTGGATAAAAGGTTGATGAGTAGGCTCCAGGATGTACATGTTTATAGAGGGGCAAATGATATATCGGATCATTTAGTTGTAGCTAACATTAGAGCAAGAGGTAGATGGGACAAGAAGAAAATGGCAACAACAAGTAAGAGAGAGGTGAAAGTGTATAAACTAAGGGATGAGGAAGATCGGGCGAGATATAAGCAACTATTGGCTGTTAGTACTGTATTTTATACTGTAAGGTTTAGGATAAACACTGTGTACAACAAAAATAGTTGTTTATTTCCCAGAAATTTGGCATAAAAAACACGGTCGTAAGTCGGGTGGTCGTAAGTTGAGGAGGTCGTAAGTCGGATGGTAGGTGTACTTTCTTACATTCTTTCTAAATCTAAATTTGTCTAAGTTGAATCCATTATTAAGACTTTTCTCTTGACTGGATATCCTCAGTACCTTACTAACATTGCCTTTCGTATGACTGTTGTCCAACTGCCTACTTGAATCACGTCTCCTAATCTACGCCTTTCTTCAAGAAAGAGAAGGTTCAGGGACTTCAATCCATCTTGAAGATCCTGAACCTTCACTTTCTTGAAAGGTGATCATTAGCACTGGTATTTGGATAAAATGGATACTTTCAGTGGCCTGGTGGTTAACGCTCTCGCTTCATACGGCGAGGGCCTGGGTTCGATTCCCAGCCAGAGTAGAAACATTGGGCGTGTTTCTTTCCACCTGTTGTCTATGTTCCCCATCAGTAAAATGGGTACCTGGGTGTTAGTCGACTGGTGTGGGTCGCATCCTGGGACACTGACCTAATTTGCCCGAGATGCTCAGCATAACAAGTGGCTTTCTATGTAGTAGTATGTCATTGTTGTCAGCTAGGGCTGTATACCATGTACATGTACTTGTAGTAAATAAAGAATATTGTAACCCTTAAAACCAGACACTTCGGATGTCCATACACCAAGAGGTGCCTAGATGACTAGACCATCCAGAGCATTGTCTCATGTGACTTTTTTCGCAGCACTAAAGGAAGAAGTAGCAAGTGGGGAAGAAGGCCGAGTGGCTAGAAAATGGCATCGCAGGGTTATCTACAGTCATCAAAAAATAGAGGGACATACTGGACAAGAATTAAGTGAAACATTCTTTTTTTTTTTCCAAACTTCATACCTATCCAACATAAATTTCTGCCAAGAAATATTATAATTTAGTTGGAGTACTGAATCAGTGAATATTGAATCTGAAAGTGATTCAAGTCAAAGTGAATGAGATAAGACACAAGAGTGATAGAGGTAAGTAGAGTGCTAGTGCAAAACACTTAAGTGACAGAAGAAATGAAACATTGATAAGTTAATTAAGAAGGATCTGGATGATGCCCCTCAAAAAACTGGTTCCGAAATATGCAGATACTGAAAGCAGCTACACTGTCCAATAACACTATGGAATTTATTTTACTAAAATACCTAATCTCTCAAAGTTTGAGGGTAATCATCAAAAAGAGTCATTTTTTTAGTTAGTGCATTGAAATATTATGGTAATAAAGAGGAAATAAATACTCTGTCGAGGAACTACATGTAACCCCTCTGCTGGGGCACACAATACTGCAACTATGTTCACTGGGTTACATACCATCATCTCCAGGTTCACCCTTCTGAGAGCGTCCAATCCCTCCGGGTACCCCATCTTCTCCACTTATGCCAGGATTACCCGGTGGGCCACGCTGGCCCAAACCACCAGGCCGACCATCAAATCCATTACCACCATGAAGTCCTAATGGTCCTGTTGGCCCTTGTGGGCCAGGTGGGCCTCTGTAGACTACAGTATCTGCTGGGTCATATATTCCTGGTACTCCTGCATCACCCACTGGGCCTGGACGACCATCATAGCCAGGTTCTCCTTTTACACCCTAGAAGAAACGAACGAGATATCTACATCCTGTTACTGAAGAATGAGAGTCATTGCTAAATATGCTTAAATCACAAACAGAATTATGATCTCTGTAAAGAAACAATCTAGTCATAATCACACTAGTTTGGTAAATACTACTACATGACAATTTCTTCCCACAAAAAACCTACTAAAATATTTTGGTATTTCTGAAAGGCCACAAAATATTTAGGCTGACAATAATACAGTCTTAGAGTAATCTCTTTAAAACTACTACAAAATCATATATATTTTCCTATGTTTTGCAACAGCAATTGAACTTTTGCATAATACTTATTCTTAAAATGTCATTGTGTTACATTTAGTGCTCTTGCTTTGGGTTAGACCCTAGTTCATCGGAGTAACTGAAGGACCTTGGGATCTACTATGCTGGTTGCACTTTTAAGAGCAAACAGAATTTTTCAGCATGTTTTGTGTGAAGTATTAGGGAAGACGTGAAGCTGGGCATATACGAGTGTGACTGTGATTAAGCATAAGTTCATATTTCCCAGCAGAGTACAGTTTTCATTTTAACTGCCAGCAATCACTTTTGACAAGTAACTCGCAATAATAGGTAAGTTATAAATGTTGTGGGGTAGCTTTTATCACCCAGAGGATGCATAAGGTGAGGTAGTTCTTATCACACACAAGATAGTTAAAGGGTGGGATAGTTATTACACACATCATAGTTAATAAGGTAGGATAGTTCTTATCACTCACAGGATAGGTAATGAGATGGAGCAGTTCTTAGAGAACTGCCTTTTTTTACCACTTACAGGATACTCAGAGATTTTAAAATTTTAAACCTTTCTAGAACTGCTAGAAACTTTTTAACTTATATATCCCATTCACATTGCTGTGATTCAGAGTCATATTCCATGTTTTGCTCAGTTTATCTACCCTTTTTAAATATATCATAGGATATTAACAAATGACCATCACTGAAATACTTTAATATATTTTTTATTATTATCACACTGGCCGATTCCCACCAAGGCAGGGTGGCCCGAAAAAGAAAAACTTTCACCATCATTCACTCCATCACTGTCTTGCAAGAAGGGTGCTTTACACTACAGTTTAAACTGCAACATTAACACCCCTCCCTCCCTAGTGCAGGCACTGTACTTCCCATCTCCAGAACTCAAGTCCGGCCTGCCGGTTTCCCTGAACCCCTTCATAAATGTTACTTTGCTCACACTCCAACAGCACGTCAAGTATTAAAAACTATTTGTCTCCATTCACTCCTATCATACACGCTCACGCATGCCTGCTGGAAGTCCAAGCCCCTCGCACACAAAACCTCCTTTACCCCCTCCCTCCAACCTTTCCTAGGCCGACCCCTACCCCGCCTTCCTTCCACTACAGACTGATACACTCTTGAAGTCATTCTGTTTCGCTCCATTTTCTCTACATGTCCGAACCACCTCAACAACCCTTCCTCAGCCCTCTGGACAACAGTTTTGGTAATCCCGCACCTCCTCCTAACTTCCAAACTACGAATTCTCTGCATTATATTCACACCACACATTGCCCTCAGACATGACATCTCCACTGCCTCCAGCCTTCTCCTCGCTGCAACATTCATCACCCATGCTTCACACCCATATAAGAGCATTGGTAAAACTATACTCTCATACATTCCCCTCTTTGCCTCCAAGGACAAAGTTCTGTCTCCACAGACTCCTAAGTGCACCACTCACCCTTTTCCCCTCATCAATTCTATGATTCACCTCATCTTTCATAGACCCATCCGCTGACACGTCCACATCCCAAATATCTGAATACGTTCACCTCCTCCATACCCTCTCCCTCCAATCTGATATCCAATCTTTCATCACCAAATCTTTTTGTTATCCTCATAACCTTACTCTTTCCTGTATTCACTTTCAATTTTCTTCTTTTGCATACCCTACCAATTCATCCACCAATCTCTGCAACTTCTCTTCAGAATCTCCAAAGAGCACAGTGTCATCAGCAAAGAGCAACTGTGACAACTCCCACTTTGTGTGATTCTTTATCTTTTAACTCCACGCCTCTTGCCAAGACCCTCGCATTTACTTCTCTTACAACCCCATCTATAAATATATTAAACAACCACGGTGACATCACACATCCTTGTCTAAGGCCTACTTTTACTGGGAAATAATTTCCCTCTTTCCTACATACTCTAACTTGAGCCTCACTATCCTCATAAAAACTCTTCACTGCTTTCAGTAACCTACCTCCTACACCATACACCTGCAACATCTGCCACATTGCCCCCTATCCACCCTGTCATACACCTTTTCCAAATCCATAAATGCCACAAAGACCTCTTTAGCCTTATCTAAATACTGTTCACTTATGTGTTTCACTGTAAACACCTGGTCTACACACCCCCTACCTTTCCTAAAGCCTCCTTGTTCATCTGCTATCCTATTCTCCGTCTTACTCTTAATTCTTTCAATAATAACTCTACCATACACTTTACCAGGTACACTCTTTTGCACTCTCTTTTGTCCCCTTTGCCTTTATACAAAGGAACTATGCATGCTCTCTGCCAATCCCTAGGTACCTTACCCTCTTCCATATATTTATTAAATAATTGCACCAACCACTCCAAAACTATATCCCCACCTGCTTTTAACATTTCTATCTTTATCCCATCAATCCCGGCTGCCTTACTCCCTTTCATTTTACCTACTGCCTCACGAACTTCCCCCACACTCACACTGGCTCTTCCTCACTCCTACAAGATGTTATTCCTCCTTGCCCTATACACGAAATCACAGCTTCCCTATCTTCATCAACACTTAACAATTCCTCAAAATATTCCTTCCATCTTCCCAATACCTCTAACTCTCTATTTAATAACTCTCCTCTCCTATTTTTAACTGACAAATCCATTTGTTCTCTAGGCTTCCTTAACTTGCTAATCTCACTCCAAAACTTTTTCTCATTTTCAACAAAATTTGTTGATAACATCTCACCCACTCTCTCATTTGCTCTCTTTTCACATTGCTTCACCACTCTCTTAACCTCTCTCTTTTTCTCCATATACTCTTCCCTCCTTGCATCACTTCTACTTTGTAAAAACTTCTCATATGCTAACTTTTTCTCCCGTACTACTCTCTTTACATCATCATTCCACCAATCACTCCTCTTCACTCCCGCACCCACCTTCCTGTAACCACAAACTTCTGCTGAACACTCCAACACTACATTTTTAAACCTACCCCATACCTCTTCGACCCCATTGCCTATGCTCTCATTAGCCCATCTATCCTCCAATAGCTGTTTATATCTTACCCTAACTGCCTCCTCTTTTAGTTTATAAACCTTCACCTCTCTCTTCCCTGATGCTTCTATTCTCCTTGTATCCCATCTACCTTTTACTCTCAGTGTAGCTACAACTAAAAAGTGATCTGATATATCTGTGGCCCCTCTATAAACATGTACATCCTGAAGTCTACTCAACAGTCTTTTATCTACCAATACATAATCCAACAAACCACTGTCATTTCGCCCTACATCATATCTTGTATACTTATTTATCCTCTTTTTCCTAAAATATGTATTACCTATAACTAAACCCCTTTCTATACAAAGTTCAATCAAAGGGCTCCCATTATCATTTACACCTGGCACCCCAAACCTACCTACCACACCCTCTCTAAAAGTTTCTCCTACTTTAGCATTCAGGTCCCCTACCACAATTACTCTCTCACTTGGTTCATAGGCTCCTATACATTCACTTAACATCTCCCAAAATCTCTCTCTCCTCTACATTGCTCTCTTCTCCAGGTGCATACACGCTTATTATGACCCACTTTTCGCATCCAACCTTTACTTTAATCCACATAATTCTTGAATTTACACATTCATATTCTCTTTTCTTCCTTCCTTAACTGATCCTTCAACATTACTGCTACCCCTTCCTTTGCTCTAACTCTCTCAGATGCTCCAGATTTAATCCCATTTATTTCCCCCCACCGAAACTCCCCTACCCCCTTCAGCTTTGTTTCGCTTAGGGCCAGGACATCCAACTTCTTTTCACTCATAACATCAGCAATCATCTGTTTCTTGTCATCCGCACTACATCCACGCACATTCAAGCATCCCAGTTTTATAAAGTTTTTCTTCTTCTCTTTTTTAGTAAATGTCTACAGGAGAAGGGGTTACTAGCCCATTGCTCCCGGCATTTTAGTCGCCTCATACAAATTATTGTAAAATAAAAATTCAAAAAGTATTCAATATAATCCCACAAATGCATAACAATGAATGATGCAGTACAAAAGTGCTAAGCAAGCTTGCTATATTTATTACTGTTTGTTTTTGAACTGAAAACATTTATTCATTAAGTTAATCCTGTTGCAACGAGTGCTAATGGTGCACTGTGCACCCCTCATGTCTGTGGTCATAAACAGAGAAGTGTGACATTAGAAACAAAACTAGAAGCTTTAAAGAGGTTTGATGATGGACAGTGAGGTGTGGTTTCATTATATGTATGTCATTTCGCACAAAGCCACATTTTCCAATAACCTATCGACAACTTTAAGTGAGGACTTACTGTACAGTAAGTCCTCATGTAAAGTCGTTGATAGGTTCTTGGAAACAGTGACTTTAAGCCTAATGATGTATAATGAAACCAATTTTAACATAGGTTAACTGATATAAACATCAAGGCTGCACAGTGCACCTTTAGCACTCACTGCAACTGGGTTAAATCAAGGAATAAATGTTTGCAGAGCAAAAATTGTAAGGAGCACCTCCTACCATCACACAGTTCAAAAATGAATGTGCAAACTCCACACAGACAGTGGCCCCAGCTAGGAATTGATTTTTTCCTATCGACGTTATAATGAAACGACGCCGAATGAAATGACATTGAGGGCTTACTGTATTCAGGAGTTAGTACCAGAATGCCTTTCTTACTCTCACTATAGGTTCATAATAAAAAAAAATCCATCCAGCATTACCTCAGCTTGCATTTCATTCATAAGAAGACGCTGTTAACAGAGAGAAACTAGAGAAAATGGATTCCCATTACCTACCATGTAGGTAACACCGCAAAAAATGCAAAATAATCAGTTGCACATTAATAGCGTAACATACCTTGAAGCTCTTGAAAACTAAGTGTCACATGTGCCTGAATCAGGGAACTACCAGGTGGCTATCCCACACATATACACTAGCACTAAGATGGCCATCATAATGTAGGTGCATTAGTGTGAATTATCACCTGGTAGACCCTGATTCAGGTCATGAGATGCCTTGTTTACACAACATGAATCTGAGTTTACATACCTTAAAGCCTTTGGAACCAGAAAATCCAGCCAATCCAGGTGCTCCCTTGAAACCTTTTGGCCCTTGCACACCCCTCTGTCCTGGGCGACCATCCTTGCCTTTCTGGCCCTCTCTGCCTTGCTCGCCCTTCAAACCTTTCTCTCCTGGAGGGCCAGAATAGCCAATATTACCTTTCTCACCAGGTATTCCAGAAGGTCCTGGATAGCCCTTGTCACCAACTTCTCCTTTCAAGTCAATTCCTGCTGGTGACGTCCTAAAAAATGAACAACAAACATGAAAAGTTTTTATTTTTTTTTTTTTAACACATCAGCCATCTCCCACCAAGGCAGGGTGGTCCAAAAAAGAAAAAAACTTTCACTATCATTCAACACTTTCACCGTCATTCACATATAATCACTGTCTTTGCAGAGATGCTCAGATACAACAGATTACATGTCAGTCCAAACAGCCAATATCCCAAACTCCTTCCTTTAAGTGCAGGCACTGCACTTCCCACCTCCAGGACTCAAGTCTGGCTAACCGGTTTCCCTGAATCCCTTCACAAAATATTACCCTGCTCACACTCTAACAGCTCATCACGCCCCAAAAACCATTCGTCCCCATTTACTCGTATCTAATACACTCACACATGCCTGCTGCATGTCCAAGCCCCTTACCCACACAACCTCTTTTACCCCTCCTCCCCTCCACTACATATTCATATACCCTCCAAGTCAATTTATTTTGCTATACTGAATACATATTATTTTACAATGTTATTTAAATCTACACTAATTTTTTTTTTCAACAAGTCGGCCATCTCCCACCAAGGCAGGGTGACCCGAAAAGGAACAAAAACCCCCAAAAAGAAAATACTATCATCATCATTCAACACTTTCACCTCACTCACACATAATCACTGTTTTTGCAGAGGTGCTCAGAATACAACAGTTTAGCAGCATATACCTATAAAGATACACAACATATTCCTCCAAACTGCCAATATCCCAAACCCCTCCTATAAAGTGCAGGCATTGTACTTCCCATGTCCAGGACTCAAGTCCGGCTATACATATAAAAATAACTGGTTTCCCTTAATCCCTTCACTAAATATTACCCTGTTCACATTCCAATAGCTTGTCAGGTCCCAAATACCATTTGTCTCCATTCACTCCTATCTAACATGCTCATGCACACTTGCTGGAAGTCCAAGCCCCTCGCCCACAAAACAACCTTTACCCCCTCCCTCCAACCTTTTCAAGGACGACCCCTACCCTGCCTTCCTTCCCCAATAGATTTATACACTCTCCACGTCATTCTACTTTGATCCATTCTCTCTAAATAACCAAACAACCTCAACAACCCCTCTTCAGCCCTCTGACTAATACTTTTATTAACTCCACACCTTCTCCTAATTTCCACACTCCGAATTTTCTGCATATTTACACCACACATTGCCCTTAGACAGGACATCTCTGCCTCCAACCGCCTCCTCGCTGCAGCATTTACAACCCAAGCTTCACACCCATATAAGAGTGCTGGTACTACTATACTTTCATACATTTCCTTCTTTGCCTCCATAGATAACGTTTTTTTTTCTCCACATATACCTCAACGCACCACTCGCCTTTTTTCCTTCATCAATTCTATGATTAACTTCATCCTTAATAAATCCATCCGCTGACATCGTCAACTCCCAAATATCTGAAAACATTCACTTCTTCCATACTCCTCTTCCCCAATTTGATATCCAATTTTTCTCTATCTAAATCATTTGATACCCTCATCACCTTACTCTTTTCTATGTTCACTTTCAACTTTCTACCTTTACACACACCCCCAAACTCGTCCACTAAACTTTGCAATTTTTCTTCAGAATCTCCCATAAGCACAGTATCATCAGCAAAAAGTAACAGTGTCAATTCCCATTTTGTATTTGATTCCCCATAATTTAATCTCACCCCTCTCCCGAACACCCTAGCATTTACTTCTTTTACAACCCCCCTATACCTATATTAAACAATCATGGTGACATTACACATCCCTGTCTAAGACCTACCTTTACTGGGAAGTAGTCTCCCAGTCTTATACACACCCTAACCTGAGCCTATCCTCATAAAAACTCTTTACAGCATTTAGTAACTTACCAACTATTCTATATACTTGCAACATCTGCCACATTGCTCCCCTATCCACTCTATCATATGCCTTTTCTAAATCTTAGTGTTCACATTTAACCCTTTCGGGGTTTTGGCTGTACTAGTACAGCTTCCGCGCCAGGTTTTTGACGTACTAGTACGCATAAATTCTAGCTCCCTCAAATCTAGCAAGAGAAAGCTGGTAGGCCTACATATGAAAGAATGGGTCTATGTGGTCAGTGTGCGCAGTATAAAAAAATCCTGCAGCACACAGTGCGTAATGAGAAAAAAAAACTTTGACCGTGTTTTTTGTTTAAAACAGTGACTTTGCACTGTATTTTCGTATGGTATTTATTGTTGTATTCTAGTTTTCCTGGTCTCATTTTATAGAATGGAAGACATATTACAGAAATTGAAATCATTTTGACTGGTTTTTCAATGAAAAGTACCTTGAAATTGAGCTCAAAGTAGCAGAAATATTCGATTTTTATCAAAGTTCAAAAGTAAACAAATCATGCTAAGCGTCCAATACACGTCAACTGGTGAGTCTAATATTCTTTCACAAGTGCGCCAATATTATTTATACCATTTCTACACTAATGCAGTAGTCTGCATAACAGTAAATCTTATTTTTTTGTGAGAATAAAAAATCAAAGTGAAAAGCAAAACAAATGTAAGAGGGGCCTGGGGATGTGACTAATGAACAGAGGAAATGTTATTTTAGTGCCAGGAATGTCTTTCTTGTTTATTCTGGACCCTATTTGGAAACTGGCAAATTTTGAAATTTGAGTGAAATTGGCAAAATTGCTAAATTCTGACCACTTCATAGGATAGTTGAAATCGAAATGGGTGGTTTCTTGTACTCATTTGATAGAGAAAATGGAGTTCTAGCGAAATAGTTATGATTTTTGTCGAATAGTACACTGGAATTGGCCAAAAATAGGGCTCAAAGTGGGTAAAATCGCCGATGCGTAAACATCGTCGAGACCGCTAACTTCGCGAGAGCCTAATTCCATAAGTTTTCCATCAGATTTCATACTTTTGGTGTCATTATGATCGGGAAAAGATTCTCTATCTTTTCATGATATTTTTTTTTTTTTTTTTTTTTTGAAATTTTGGCAACCCTGAGAACAAGTCTCTGAGAGGGCCTGGCGACCCTCAAATGGTTAAAAAAAAAAAAATTCTGAAATGGTATAAAATCTTTTTATGCAAGTAAATACACAAAAGTATACAATTTTATGAAAAACTCGTGGAATTATGCGGGTGCAAAGTTAGTGGTTTCAGTGCAATTTATGCAATGGTGATTTCAACCACTGAGTCATATTTTTAAGTTAATTCCACTGCTCAATTCAACCAAATTTTTAGCTATTGATTGAGGACAAGAAACCACCCATGTGTAAAATAGGCAATCTGATCAATTTTACACAAAACTGAAAAATTCCAATTTAAAAACAGAGTCCAAAATAAACAATGAAGACATTCCAGGCACTAAAACAACATTTCCTCTCTTCATTAATCACATGCCCAGGTCTCTCCTACATTTGCCTTCCATTTTGAATTCATCACCCTACATCTCTGATAATAAAAAATATCCAGGATTGACTGTTCATGGTCTTGCAGCATCTCAATAATTGAATCAGACCTATTAAAAACTCATAAAACAGACCAGGGGGTTTGGGGAGGCTTTACCCATCCTGAGGAAATCAGCAAAAATTGAATATTTATGGTACTTTGAGCCCAGTTTCAAGCTACTCCCAGACCTGAAACTAACCAAAATCATCTCTATTTCAGTAGTATATCTTCTATTATATCAAAAGATACCAAGAAACAGCCAACAAAGCCATAAAAACCATCCTAGAAAACACCTCAAAGTTGCTATTTTAAACCAAATGCAAGGTCAGAGTATTGCTTTTCCCGTCATGCACCATGTGGTGCAGGATTTTTTTTTATACTGCACACACTTGCAGCAGACCCATTCTCTCATATCTAGGTAAAAATTTACTGTTCACAGCTTATCTGCGGGAGCTGTGCTCAAAACATAGATCTACGTGAGGGACCCTGGCATCAATTACTCAGATCTATGTGATGGTCACTTGGAAGTTTAAAATTTACATTCTGATTTGTTACATGCATTTCTAGTTTTTGTATTTTATTAATAATGCACATTTTTTGAAGTTTGGATAATACACTAAAGGTGTATTCTTTAATTTCTGTCTAGCATATATTGCATAATGTTGTGACAGTACTTAATCCTTCTACTGTCAAGACCCTTGAAATGAAAAGTCCGATCGGTGTCAATTTTTCATAAAAAAAAAAAGGCAATAATTTAATCTTCTAAAATGGTAGGGAATCTCTTTCTAAAGGTACTGATACCAAAAACACCAAATTTGATGCAAAACTATGGAATTATGCAGGCACAACGTTGGAGGCTGGTGAGCACTTTACACAAATGTGTAAAGTGAGTCTTAGTTTAGGCCAATTCCAATGAGGAAACCAACCCAATTCATGACTAGTTTGCTACTATGCTCCCAGTCATTCGATTGAGAACAAGATATTGAACAGTCAACTATAAAAACTACCCTATTACTGACCCATAAGTCAGTAATTGGGAAGATTTTACACAAATTACCACAAATTCCAATTTAAAAACAGAGCAAAAAAAAACACACTGTAGGCATTCCATCCACTAAACTAACCTTTCCTCTGTTCATTAATCACATTCCAAGGCCTCTTCTATTTAACACTTTCCTCCATTTTGAATCTTTCGTCACATAATAAAATATAAACAAGAATGACTCGTCATGGTTTAGGCTGTTCCAATAACTGAAATGTCAGTATCTTGCAGGCTAGCAAGGCTGTCACAACCCAACTGGTCAGGAACTTTCTGCAGATAGCCCAGCTTCCTCTTACAGTACATAATTCCTAGGGACAGGCAAAGTTTATGAAAAAATAATGCAAGTTATCTCTCGCATGGTGTTGGTTTGCTAAACCTGGATTTATATTGCTCTTTCAGGGTTCACTCATTTCTTTATTGTCCTTAATGTACTATATGTCTGTAGTGTAAGAAAAGTACAAATACTAGAGTTGTTTATTCAAATTTTGCATATCTGAAGAAAAAATCCCAATTTCCTGACTGATTACTTTTTGTTTCTTTCATCTGATAAAAAAGTTCTAGTTTCTGTTCCAAATCTGTGATTTCTCTGTGTAGGTTTTCTTTTTTCTTTGTCTAAATATTTGTGGTTTCTAATAAAGCAGTTGATAACAAGCCTTTATTTGGGCAATGCTTCACTTCATAGAGTTTTTTAAGTCATAAAAGAGATTACATTCTACATACGTATATAAATACTCTTGGAAAGAGGTGAAAGTATGTGCAGGTGAGATCCACAGAGGTGAAGATAACACTGATAGAAGTAGGCAGAGATGTCACCTGTATTCTGAAGGAGGATGGTGCATGTAACAGTTCAGAGGGATATTTGAAATGTGATATCTGCATGCTTCTGGCAAGACAGTTACTGAATGAATGATGGTAAATGCATTTCCTTTTCTTTTGGGGTCACCTTACCTTGGTGGAAGATGACCAGTGTGTTAAAAAATAATAATCAAAATTCAAGAGTTGTTGTTATCACAAGTCAATAAAAGTTATCATGTAATCACAGGTCAACAAAAGTTATCAAATAATTATAAGCCAGTAGAAGTTGTCACGTAATCATAAGTTAATTGAAGTCATCACATAATCATAAGTCATTAGAATTCATCATGAAACCATACAGTAAGACAAAAGAAGTCATCACATAATACCGAGTCAAAAAATATCATCACAATCATAAGACAACAGACATTAAATCACCATGAAACAATCATGTATTAATGAGACAGGAGACATCAGCACATAATTATAATACAAAAAAAATGTCATCACATAATAATAACATAAAAGAAGGGATCACAAGACACCTACACAATGCCCCTCACTCCTGCAGGTTCACCCTTCTCTCCTGGTGCTCCAGCAACGCTTGGGATAGGTGGTGGCTTGTCTCCTTGATCACCAACATAACCTTTGTCACCTTCATCACCACGTATTCCCTGTGAACAATTGAAAAGGAAAACCATATGAAAAATAGAGCCCGGTGAAAACGATATATGTACAGGTTTTGAAGAATGGAACAAACAGTTATTAGCATACACATGAAAAAAATTCATTTCCTATTACACAGTAACTGTGAAGGTATTTGCTTACAATGATGTTATTTGTCATCTACTAGTGGTTCTAGGGTTTATCTTCCCGACAGCCTGATTTCAGACCAGGAAAGGAAACATTACATTAAATTCTATTAAGAAACACACAGAATAGGAAAGTAAAGGCATGTGTATGTTGAATGCAAGTAGAAGTTTGTAAGCCTACCTGTCATTATACATACTGATGACAGAAAGAAATGATCAGCATTTTCTGGATGACAGAAAATGCCAACCCACTTTCGGTTATGTATAATTGAATGTATAGTATGTGGTAAATATAGATCTACTGACGTGCTTTTCTATAAGGATGTTTGATTACAATGATGTAACGTACGTATATTTATTATAATTTTATCTATTTTGTAATGACAGTCTAAAAATGATAACCTAATGTTATGTATACAACAATGTATATATTGTGCAATATACTGGTGTACTAAGAACATAAGAACATAAGAAAGAAGGAACACTGCAACAGGCCTACTAACCCATGCGCAGCAGGTCCATGTCCCCCCCCCCCTGGATTAGACCAATGACCCCACCCCCTGGATTTATCCCAATGACCCACCCAGTCTGGTCATCCCCACTCAAGGATGGAGCACTGTACCAGACCCAGCAGCACAAGCTAGTCAGGTCCAACTCACACCCACCCACACCCACTCATGTATTTATCTAACCCATTTTTAAAACTACACAACGTTTTAGCCTCAATAACTGTACTCGGAGATTGTTCCACTCATCCACAACTCTATTACCAAACCAGTGCTTCCTATACCTTCCTGAATCTGAATTTTTCCAACGTGAAACCACTGCTGCGAGTCATGTCTTGGCTGGAAATTTTCAGCACACTATTTACATCCCTTTATTTATTCCTGTTTTTCCATTTATACACCTCAATCATATCCCCCGTAATTCTACGCCTTTCGAGAGAGTGCAGATTCAGGGCCTTCATCTATCCTCATAGGGAAGATTTCTGATACATGGGATCATCTTTGTCATCCTCCTTTGTACGTTTTCCAGAGCATTTATATCCATTCTGTAATACGGCGACCAGAACTGAGCAGCATAGTCTAAATGAGGCCTAACCAAGGATATATAGAGTTGAAGAACAACCTGAGGACTTCTATTATTTATACTTCTAGATATGAAGCCAAGAATTCTGTTAGCTTTATTGCGAACACTAATGCACTGTTGTCTTGGTTTTAGGTTACTGCTAACCAGAACTCCTAAATCCTTTTCGCAATCGGTAGAATTAAGATCTACATTATTTAGTTTATATGTGGCATGGTTATTTAACTGTCCAACATTTAGAACTTTGCATTTGTCAATATTAAACTGCATCTGCCACTTCTCCAACCATTGCATCAGTCTATTCAAATCATCCTGGAGTGCTGTAATATTCTCATTAGAATGAATTGGACGGCCTATTTTGGCGTCGTTTATGTAAATTGTGAACAACAACGGGCCCAACACTGGCCCCTGAGGAACACCGCTTGTGACGTGCCCCCATTCTGATTTCTCCCCATTTATGCAAACTCTCTGCTGTCTATTTGTCAGCCATGCCTCTACCCAGGAAAAAATTTCTCCTCCTATTCCGTGTGCCCTAAGTTTCCTCAATAGCCTCTGGTGTGGAACTATCGAAAGCCTTACTGAAGTCCATATACACAATATCATATTCATTACCATGATCTACCTCCTCAAACACCTTAGTGAAAAAAGTTAGAAAATACTAATGCTCATAAGCACACTTCTGACCATAAGAACAATCAAGCTGACATCCAACTGAACATATACGTAATTTCAGCCTCTTCATGCCCTGCTATGTTCCATCAGCCCTCCTCTCCAAAAGTGTTATCTTTAACATGGCTGCTGTACATGGTATATAATCAAAATTGGCTTTATTACAATATCTATCTAGCACCAGCACTTTTGTATATACAGATCCTCCTCACTTAACGAAGGATGTTCCGTTCCTAAGACCACACTGGTAAACGAATTCGTTGCTAAGTGAGGAGCATACTATAATGGTAGTGGGTTTGTGTCAACCATCTTTGATATTGTTTTAATGTCACCTTTGCACCATTTATAACATTTCTGGTATATTTTTAAATGTTTATACAGCAGTGTACTGTACATATACATTTTTTTTTTTTTTTTTTTTTTTTTTTTTTTTATTATCACACCGGCCGATTCCCACCAAGGCAGGGTGGCCCGAAAAAGAAAAACTTTCACCATCATTCACTCCATCACTGTCTTGCCAGAAGGGTGCTTTACACTACAGTTTTTAAACTGCAACATTAACACCCCTCCTTCAGAGTGCAGGCACTGTACTTCCCATCTCCAGGACTCAAGTCCGGCCTGCCGGTTTCCCTGAATCCCTTCATAAATGTTACTTTGCTCACACTCCAACAGCACGTCAAGTATTAAAAACCATTTGTCTCCATTCACTCCTATCAAACACGCTCACGCATGCCTGCTGGAAGTCCAAGCCCCTCACACACAAAACCTCCTTTACCCCCTCCCTCCAACCTTCCTAGGCCGACCCCTACCCCCGCCTTCCTTCCACTACAGACTGATACACTCTTGAAGTCATTCTGTTTCGCTCCATTCTCTCTACATGTCCGAACCACCTCAACAACCCTTCCTCAGCCCTCTGGACAACAGTTTTGGTAATCCCGCACCTCCTCCTAACTTCCAAACTACGAATTCTCTGCATTATATTCACACCACACATTGCCCTCAGACATGACATCTCCACTGCCTCCAGCCTTCTCCTCGCTGCAACATTCATCACCCACGCTTCACACCCTATAAGAGCGTTGGTAAAACTATACTCTCATACATTCCCCTCTTTGCCTCCAAGGACAAAGTTCTTTGTCTCCACAGACTCCTAAGTGCACCACTCACTCTTTTTCCCTCATCAATTCTATGATTCACCTCATCTTTCATAGACCCATCCGCTGACTACGTCCACTCCCAAATATCTGAATACGTTCACCTCCTCCATACTCTCTCCCTCCAATCTGATATTCAATCTTTCATCACCTAATCTTTTTGTTATCCTCATAACCTTACTCTTTCCTGTATTCACCTTTAATTTTCTTCTTTTGCACACCCTAACCAAATTCATCCACCAATCTCTGCAACTTCTCTTCAGAATCTCCCAAGAGCACAGTGTCATCAGCAAAGAGCAGCTGTGACAACTCCCACTTTGTGTGTGATTCTTTATCTTTTAACTCCACGCCTCTTGCCAAGACCCTCGCATTTACTTCTCTTACAACCCCATCTATAAATAAAATTAAACAACCACGGTGACATCACACATCCTTGTCTAAGGCCTACTTTTACTGGGAAAAAAATTCCCTCTTTCCTACATACTCTAACTTGAACCTCACTATCCTCGTAAAAACTCTTCACTGCTTTCAGTAACCTACCTCCTACACCATACACTTGCAACATCTGCCACATTGCCCCCCTATCCACCCTGTCATATGCCTTTTCCAAATCCATAAATGCCACAAAGACCTCTTTAGCCTTATCTAAATACTGTTCACTTATATGTTTTCACTGTAAACACCTGGTCCACACACCCCCTACCTTTCCTAAAGCCTCCTTGTTCATCTGCTATCCTATTCTCCGTCTTACTCTTAATTCTTTCAATTATAACCTACTACCATACACTTTACCAGGTACACTCAACAGACTTATCCCCCTATAATTTTTGCACTCTCTTTTATCCCCTTTGCCTTTATACAAAGGAACTATGCATGCTCTCTGCCAATCCCTAGTACCTTACCCTCTTCCATACATTTATTAAATAATTGCACCAACCACTCCAAAACTACATCCCCACCTCTTTTAACATTTCTATCTTTATCCCATCAATCCCGGCTGCCTTACCCCCTTTCATTTTACCTACTGCCTCACGAACTTCCCCCACACTCACAACTGGCTCTTCCTCACTCCTACAAGATGTTATTCCTCCTTGCCCTATACACGAAATCACAGCTTCCCTATCTTCATCAACATTTAACAATTCCTCAAAATATTCCTTCCATCTTCCCAATACCTCTAACTCTCCATTTAATAACTCTCCTTTCCTATTTTTAACAGACAAATCCATTTGTTCTCTAGGCTTTCTTAACTTGTTAATCTCACTCCAAAACTTTTTCTTATTTTCAACAAAATTTGTTGATAACATCTCACCCACTCTCTCATTTGCTCTCTTTTTACATTGCTTCACCACTCTCTTAACTTCTCTCTTTTTCTCCATATACTCTTCCCTCCTTGCATCACTTCTACTTTGTAAAAACTTCTCATATGCTAACTTTTTCTCCCTTACTACTCTCTTTACATCATCATTCCACCAATCGCTCCTCTTCCCTCCTGCACCCATATACATGTCCTATAATAAACAGAATTGTGGAAATCAGCTCTAATATACATTATTTAGGTATGCATACTAGTCAGAGCCTGTCACAAGTCCAAGTTGTCGGTAAACGAGTATGTCGTTAAGTGAGGAGAGGCTGTACAGTATTATTATTATTATTATTATTGTAGACGAGGTTACAATAAGAGCTGGGGATGCAGGCCTCACCTAACAAGTAAGCTCAGGGAATGCAGCATATACTGATAAATCCTAGAATTTAAAAGAATCTACAGTACAGTACTTGCTATACTCACAGTATATACACTGAGGCTATATATAAATAGAATAAATAGCTACGATGAACTTGATATATCCTCATTTCCTACAGGAAATGAAGTACTGTACAGACAATAGAAAAAGGCAAAATGAGCTTTCTTTCTTTCTTTCTTTCAACAAACTGGCCGTATCCCACCAAAGCAGGGTGACCCAAAAAGAAAAACAGAAGTTTCTCTCTTTAACTTTAGTAATGTATACAGGAGAAGGGGTTACTAGACCCTTGCTCCCGGCATTTTAGTCACCTCTTACGACATGCATGGCTTACAGAGGAAAAATTCTGTTCCACCTCCCCATGGAGATAAGAGGAAAGAAACAAGAATAAGAACTAGTAAAAAAATAGAAGAAGACCCAGAGGTACATGTATGGGTATAAAGACACAATATATGGGGAGTACATTTTGCTTAGGATTGAGCTTTATCTCATCATACAACATTAATTTTTTACACACATACTGTCCTAATGAAGAATGAGGTAAAATCAATGAGAAATTGTATGCTAGGTGATGACTGAGGCAAACATGCATACTTTACGACATTTCAATACTCCATACTTATTATTAAAGGGTACAGATCTCGACAACAGTGTCTGGAACGTGCGATTATCAACACAGAAAACACTTCTGAGCAGAATTAGGGTGCCTACCAAAACCCTTGCTCCCCCAGCACTGTAGTTGTCTTACATGACATGCATTACTTATGGGGTAATTTTAATGTGGAACAAAAAACATAAAGGGCAAAATTTTTTAAAAATTGAAAAACTAAGAGGGGGGGGGTTTTAAAAAAAATTTGGCTGCAAAAAAATTGTGGGTGTTTTAGTTTACCTGTTCTTTGGTAAAAGGTTAAAAAGGTTTTTTTTTACTTGCAAAATTCAGGTATTTTAATTTTTGGGGTCCAAAAAAATGCCATTTCCCCTTCCTTTTCAAAAAAAAATTTTCTTAGAATTTAACCGTTTCTGGAACCTCAAAAAAAAATTAATTTCCAAAGGGTTTTTGGTTTCATTTTTGGTTAAAAATTCTCCCCCCCCTTTTTTTTTGGGCCGGGTTTAAAATTTTTGGGGCCCCATTTTAAAAATTTTTTTAAATAAAAAAAAAAAAAAAAATAAAAAAAACAATTTCAGCAAAGTTCTGGCAGGGCGCGTTTGTTTCGTCGAGTGCCGAGCTTTTTTTCGAGTAGGAGCTGTTAAAAAACCGAGGTTTTCCCCTGTAATTATTGCCCCAAACATGATCTAATTAGAGTTCTAAAGAGCAATGTGTTTCTATGTTACCACAAAAAAACAAATATAAGTACACACTGCATTTTCTAAAATAAAAAAAAAAAATTGAAAAACCCCCCTAAATTAAAATAAAGATTTTAATTACCTTTAGAAGAAAAAGCCCTGCCTATACTGTACTGGATGTGTCAATGACTGAACAAGCTACACTGGTGCTGGGAAGACAGTGTTACCAACTTGTTTGCCCAAATTCCAAGTATAATTTTTACCCCAAAAATAACAATAATCAGAAGAGTATTTAATAATTTAGCTTACTAAGATAATTTCTTAAATAATAATTTACATTTCAATTTTTCCTGTGAATGTTATTACTTGCTTGTTGCATTTAAACTCTTAATAAATGTTAATTCAATGCAAACCATGGAATAAAAACTTGTTAGCCAGTTGTCATTGCCTTGCAGACTTTCCTAACCAATCAGAATTTGTTTGTAGTGTATGCTGGGACGTTTTGATAAGTTTTAACCACCTTTTCTCAGGTGAAAACTTTAAGCTATGGCTTATGATGTTAGGAATGTTGTAAACTGAACATTGTAAAAAAAAAAAAAAAAAAAAAAAAAAGGGTTGAGAACACTCATCTAAGAAATGTCCTTACAGACTTTTTTTTTTATTAACACATCAGCCATTTCCCACCAAGGCAGGGTGACCAGAAATAGAAGAAACACTTCCATCATCATTCACTTCATCACTGTGTTGCCAGAGGCACTAGTACACTACGGTTAAAAAACTGCAACATCAATATCCCTCCTTCAGAGTGAAGGCACTGTACTTCCCACCTCCAGGACTCAAGTCTGGCTTGCTGGTTTCCGAAAAATTCCTTTATAGATGTTACTTTGTTCACACTCCAACAGCACATCAACTCATAAAAACCATTTGTCTCCACTTGCTCCTATTTGACACGCTCACTCATGCTTGCTGGAATTCCAGGCCCCCCGCCCACAAAACCTCCTTTATCCCCTCCCTCCAATCTTTCCTAGGCCAACCCCTACCCTGCCTTCCTTCCTCTACAGATTTATACGCTCTCCAAGTCTTTCTACTTTGATCCATTCTCTCTAAACGACCAAACCACCTCAACACCCTCTCTTCAGCCCTCTGACTAATACTTTTAGCAACTCCACACCTCCTCTTAATTTCCACACTCTGAATTCTCTGCATAATATTTACACCACACATTGCCCTTAGACAGGACAGCTCCACTGCCTCCAGCCGCTGCCTCACTGCAGCATTTGCAACCCAAGCTTCACGCCCATATAAGAGTGTTGGTACCACTATACTTTCGTACACTTCTTTCTTTGCCTCCATGGATAACGTTTTTTGTCTCCACAGATACCTCAATGCACCAATCACCCTTTTTCCTTCATCAATTCTATGGTTAACCTATTCTTCATAAACCCATCTGCTGACAAGCCAACTCCCAAATATTTTAAAACATTCACTTCTTCCATACTCCCTCTCTCGAATGTGATATCCAATTTTTCTTTATCTAAAATGTTTGATACCCTCATCATCTTACTCTTATCTATGTTCACTTTCAACTTTCTACCCTTACACACCCTCCCAAACTCATCCACTAACCTTTGCAACTTTTCTTTAGAATCTCCCATAAGCACTGGATGTATCATTAACACAGTTACTTTTGTAACTGTGTCAACTCCCATTTTGCACAGTGGACCCTCAGCTAATGCCTTTAATCTGTTCCAAAGAGCTAGCCTTTAGCCGATTTAGCCTTTAGCCAAATTAATTTTCCCCATGAGAAATAATGGAAATCCAATTAATCTGTTCCAGACACCCGAAAATATTAAACAAAATTCTTTTTACATGAAATATACATTTCACTGCACAGAAAACAATGATACATACAGAATAAACAATATTGAAATGACATTTACCTTTATTGTGGACTTGTTGATGAGTGATGAGACGGGAGGAGGGGATGGATAAAGACTTCATATAACAAGTCCTTTTCTGGGGTTACCTCCCTTCTTGGTTTTTCAATGCCACTATGACCAGCTTGAGAGTCACTGGACCACCCCCCACCACCATCACATCTACTACCACCATCACAACCACTACCACCCTCTACCATCATCACTACCACCCTCTACCACCATCACTACCACTACCACCCTCTACCACCATCACAACCACTACCACCCTCTACCACCATCACAACCACTACTACCATCACTACCACCCTTTACCACCATCACTACCACCCTCTACCATCATCACAACTACCACCACCTTCTACCACCATCACTACCATCCTCTACCACCACCACTTTCATATTTTTCTACGAACTTTTTCTTGAATTCTATCATGTTTCTCACATCCTTTACCAAAGGGTTGGCACTAGAAGCTTTCTTGGGGCCCATGGTGGCTTATTTAGCAGTTACAAGCACTAAAAACAATGAAATAATACAAAATATATTGCATGTACGCACAGAATCGTCCTCACTGGCTTTGTAAACAATGACACACTGGCTGTACAAGGAATATGGAGTGGCCAGGCCCGCTCAGGCTGCACGGACACATTCGGGACAAAAGCCCTTAGCTGAGTTATTCGGCATTAGCCAAGCCAATATTTTTATGCCAAAGCAAGCCATTAGCCGAATTTGGCGTTAGCCAATGCAGCTTTTAGCAGAGGGTCCACTGTACATGTATTTGATTTGCCATAATTTAATCCCACCCCTCTCCCCAACATTTGCTTCTTTTACAACCCCATCTACAAATATATTAAACAACCATGATGACATTACACATCCCTGTCTAAGACCTACTTTTACTGGGAAGTAATCTGAGCCAAAAAGCATTATTAATATTTAAAATCAATCCATTAGTGACTAGAACTTTTCAGTAATTAAAGGTTCAATTTGAAGCCAGTTTGGGAGACCCACAGGAGATGGCAGTGTATGGATAATATGAGCCATGCACATTATATACATGACTGGCATGCCACAGCTGAAATAATGTCCCAATGGCCCGGTCAATGGCCAGGCCTCGGTTTGTGGTAAAGATTCACAATTTGTGGTAAAGATTCACAAGAATCATGAACTACAAATCCAAGAATACTATATATCAGAGGAGATGAATGCTATAAGAGCTGTTGACTCACGAAATCGTAATGACACGATTGCAAACAAACCATACCCCGGCCGGGATTGAACCCACGGTCAGAAACTCTCTGACCGCGGGTTCAATCCCGGCCGGGGTATGGTTTATAAGAGCTGTTACAAAACCATAATTTTAGCCTCTTCATAACTGACTCATCTGCATACAGCATGCTGTAACAGTTTTCACAATCACATTCAAAAGTAATATATCCTCACTATTAAACCAGGTAGTCCATAGTCACCCCTCGGTCCTCGAGGTCCTGGCACACCTCTATAACCTCTGGGTCCCAGCTGGCCTGGCTCTCCTTGATCTCCTTTGATACCTCTTGAATTGGTGCCACCTTCACCTGGGTCTCCAACAGGACCATAACCACCCTCTGGGCCTGAATTATAACAGTGGTTTTTAACTCTTTTTCTTTTGTCAGTACATACTGTAGTTATATACAACGTACAAAGAATATTAACAGTACAGAACTGCATTTGTTCATGTAGCAAATTTAAAAACAAAATAATGAAAGTCAAATTTATATACAGTACTGTACATAATGTTTGTGGCTTCATTTAATGAAATCAAGATACACAGTAGCTGACAGTAAACTTATAAAAAAAAAAAAAAAAAAAAAAAAAAAAAAAAAAAGGCTCTTGAAAGACTAAATTCTCAGAAATCTACACCTTCAAGGATAGCCCATTACAAATTAACTTTTGGAGAAACTTTAACATAAACCAATTCAATGTCCCAAAATGCTTCAATCGCCACTGCTAATTATTTTTTATTTATTGATTGTTCCATCACTACTTTTCATGCACATTACATCAATATTTATTAATACTACTTTATTAGAAAAAAGACAGTATTGACAACATCTTGAAACTGGTTGAAGCAAACTGTCTTTATTCTTGCCAAACCAGAATGGCAACAGACCTGAAGATGCTGTTTTTGGAAGAGTTTATACCATCATTAATATGAAGATTATTTGTTAATTATGGATTAGAATGCTGCTTTTAAGTTATGAATGCCATAATGATTAACATAATATTTTTGGAACTGTGAATTATGTACACATCTAGCCAGTAATAGATACTAATGAGAATTTAAGACATTTTTTCCAAACTCTCTTTGAAATAAATACGTACTATGTATAGCATCTTACCTGGGGGGCCTATCACACCAGGAGGTCCAGGAATTCCTGTCACACCAGGTTTACCATCAGTGCCATTGCACCCTGGTGGACCATCAATCCCAGCAGGACCCTCTAATCCAGGAAGACCAGGAATACCTGCAGTCCCTTGAAAGCCTGGCATACCCATGTCTCCTCTAATGCCTTTCTCTCCTACTGCACCATTTTCGCCATAATCTCCAGTAGGTCCACTACGACCTGTGGATATTTAATATTTATATACACAGGAATATTTATTATTTTACATGTACTTCAAAATTTGTTATAAGATTTTAGTGGCTAAGTTTTCAAATTATTTGTTCCTAAACACACATTACTATGTATGAAAATTTATTTTTTATATAGTTTCATATTTTACATTATATATTATAGCAGACTAATCTAAAAAGGTAAAAAGACTGATTAATATGGGTATTAAGAGACAACATGCAAAGTAAGCTTTAAATGGGACTACATTTCCCCCAGAGCTGGAGCCTTATCAATCCTGAGAAAACATAGACCCAATAAAATTAGTTATGCACATTGCATCTTTATACTCGTAACTATTAACATTACACTTTTACACCCAAATTGATAGCTTTTTTAATTTTACTTCTTCCATTTGTTCTCTCTTCCTACTTGGATGTACAGTGGTACCTCGAGTTTTGAACAGCTCCCAACTCGAACAATTATGTAAGTGTATTTTTGGAAGGTCTGAAATGGACTAATCTAATTTACATTATTCCTTATGGGAACAAATTCATCCGGTATCGGCACTCGAACAGCCTTCTGGAACGAATTAAGTTGGTAACTCGAGGTACCACTGTACTTGCTGAGGTGAGACTCAACTTCAGTAAACATGAATTTCTTAGGCTAATTAAGTGGTAGTTGCTTACTTCTATAATAAATTGCCTGACTGCACCTGAAATACACTTTCAAAACTTAAAGGAAGCTGTATTATAGTTGAAATGTCCAAAGAAGAATATTGTATAAATTTTACCACTCTGCTTCCCTCTTCCCCCTTTCCTACCTTTCAAAGAAATGCATACAGGAAAGAGGGTATAAAAGATAAAAAGCACAAAATAGATACAAATATATTCAATTCAATTCAAGTTTATTCTCTATAAGGGTTACTAAATTACTAAGTGAATGGCAAAAATCACAGTTATAAAGAATGCTAAAACTTGCCAGGTAATTAAATGCTAAGTTATTTTGTAATGCTGTCACTTGCATACTAAAACATGGGAAAATCTTGGAATATTTATCCTACCTGATGGCCCCTCGTATCCTTGATCTCCTGGGAAGCCAGTTGAACCCTGGAGGCCTGGGATACCCGGGGCTCCAAGAAAGCCCTTCTGGCCCTCACATATACAAGTATAGCAATTTAAACAAACCTGTAATAAAATAAAGAAAAATAGTAATAAACATAATTTTTGACAAAAATGCACCTACACAGTCTAAAATTAATCCAAACCTTCCACTAAGATGGATACACCAGATTTGAAACTTTAGAACTCACTTGCATGGGTTGAAACCCCCACCCGTTCAGTGATCTGAAACTTTAATCACAATCAGAAAAGACATTCTCTAGTTATTGCACAGAAACCAACACCACGATTTGTTTAATAAAACTGGAAAATTAGAGCTTACCCAGCCCAATAACAATATAAAGCTTCCTTTGAACAAAATAATGTACACCAGTACTTTAAAGTCTGAAGATGATCAGAAGTTGCAGTCTCAAGTTATTGAATGGCAAATAATACTTCACAATTATTTAATTAAACCTTGCAAAGTAGCACCTATACACTTCAATAACAACCTGAACCTTCCTCTCAGTAGGATACACCTGTACTGAAAGTAAGAGGCATTCCCAAGTTATCACAGAAAACCTGTCCTATTTATGTACAACATATGACAGTGGCACGCTGGCACCTATGCATTTATTATTTATTTATTTATTTATTTGAACATGATACAGGGAAGTACAAAGGAATACAGTTATTAAAGTGCAACATGCCAAAGCCCCTTGTATGCAAAGCATTATGGGCAGGCTTAAAATTAACTTAAGATTAGCTAAGCAATGATATATTCATCCAATTACAACCTGGTACTTTCTTTAAAGCTAATCATTAGCTGCTCTAAAGTTATCAAATGGAAACCTTGTCTAGTTCTCTGATATAGCAGTACAGGAGGGCCCTGCTTTACAGCGCCTTCCAGACTCCAGGCTGAGGGACTGATTACCTAACTCCAGGCTGAGGGACTGATTACCTGACTCCAGGCTGAGGGACTGATTACCTGACTCCAGGCTGAGGGACTGATTACCTGACTCCAGGCTGAGGGACTGATTACCTGAACTCCAGGCTGAGGGACTGATTACCTAACTCCAGGCTGAGGGACTGATTACCTGACTCCAGGCTGAGGGACTGATTACCTGACTCCAGGCTGAGGGACTGATTACCTGACTCCAGGCTGAGGGACTGATTACCTGACTCCAGGCTGAGGGACTGATTACCTAACTCCAGGCTGAGGGACTGATTACCTGACTCCAGGTTAAGGGACTGATTACCTAACTCCAGGCTGAGGGACTGATTACCTGACTCCAGGCTGAGGGACTGATTACCTGACTCCAGGCTGAGGGACTGATTACCTGACTCCAGGCTGAGGGACTGATTACCTGACTCCAGGTTAAGGGACTGATTACCTAACTCCAGGCTGAGGGACTGATTACCTGACTCCAGGCTGAGGGACCGATTACCTACCCAGGCTGAGGGACTGATTACCTGACTCCAGGCTGAGGGACTATTACCTAACTCCAGGCTGAGGGACTGATTACCTGACTCCAGGCTGAGGGACTGATTACCTGACTCCAGGTGAGGGACTGATTACCTGACTCCAGGCTGAGGGACTGATTACCTGACTCCAGGCTGAGGGACTGATTACCTAACTCCAGGCTGAGGGACTGATTACCTAACTCCAGGCTGAGGGACTGATTACCTGACTCCAGGCTGAGGGACTGATTACCTAACTCCAGGCTGAGGGACTGATTACCTGACTCCGGGTTAAGGGACTGATTACCTAACACCAGGCTGAGGGACTGATTACCTGACTCCAGGTTAAGGGACTGATTACCTAACTCCAGGCTGAGGGACTGATTACCTCACTTCTCATCTTCCACCGTTTATATGTTGTACTGAAGAAACAGCTGGATGACGAAGCAAAAACGGATTAACTGAACAATTAAAATGCATCGTAAGATGTAAAATGTGTAATAACATAATAATATAATGTATGAAGTTACTTTTTGCTGTCTTCAGTGTTGTTAGGTGACATGTAAAACAATAGCTAAGTGGATATAACCGACTTGTAGCCACCTTGACAGTACCAAATAGGCTGGTTATACTAACAGCAAACAAAAAATATTATTACATTCATGGGAAATGCACTAAACCGTAGGGATATTACTATCCGAGGAACTGGAGCAACCAGGTTCCTTACAGAGAACGACTCCTAGTTCTTGTTCAAGAGCCCTACACGCAGTCAAGGAATCCCTCCATGAAGGCGTTTCATATGCGATGTACTGTCTCTACAAGAAAAACAGGATTTAATAGAACAATATTATATCTAATGGAAAAGCGCTAAAACTGTAGGTCATTGAGTTCAGGGACCTCTAACATGGAAAATATATAAATGGTATCAATACCGACAGTTGGAAACAACACATATGCATATAATGTGATCCTTTATGACAACGTTTATCCACAGTGGGGATAAACGTTGTTTCACCCACTGTGTGGTGAAACGTTGTCAATAAAGGTATCACATTATACGACATAGTGTTTATGTGACCTCAACATCGGTCTAAATAAGGTGTATTTTGTAAAAAGATTGTAACATCAGACAACCCTTGTATATATAAGTAATTGCTCAGGTCATTCTATCCCTGGTTGTTGGCATGAACTCGAATATTGCTGTGCAAAACGAAAAAAAAAAAGTCATAAGCCTAATGAAACTTAATAATCTCTTTCTCCTGGGATATTAAAAAACAAAAATTTAATACATTCAGATCACTTGTACAAATTTTTTTACTACTGGCAAAATATCGGATATTATAAGATGTAAATAAACCGTTTAGTGCTAAGCTCCCTGGGTCATTAGCGCAAGATGTAATGGAGGCTTGATCTCCGTATCTGTGAACATAAGACAACAGCTAAGCCTATGTACTCCACCGGAGGATTTTCTGAATAATAATAAAAATTATATAATTATTAAATTATTATTATTGAATAATTATTATTATAATTATTATTATGTTGTATTATATTATTATTAACCAAACTATGATTATTCTTAAATTAACAAAAACACTCCTAAATAGGCGGGATTTTCCCTGATTGATAGGATAATTATTTTAAATTATTATATTATTATAATGATAATAATTATTATTATAATTATTATTGTTGTAATTATTATTATTATTAACCAACTATAATTATTATTATAATTAACCAAACAACATTCACTTAAAAATGGCGGGATTTTCCCTCTGGTTGATAGGAGTCTCGTTAGTTTTACAGAAAAAATAAATGAGGATATCTTAACTAAATTAACTAGACATATTCCTAAAGGCCACTTTAAAATAAACTCTGTATATACATCAGGTTTACACATTAATGTAGACCTGTGATGAAAGTGTTCTGACTTGTGAGTTTCGCTGTAAATAAAAATTCATATTAACATGGTCATCATGTTATACCTACAATCAGCAGCACAATTACAAAATACCAAAAAATACATTTAGGAAGTTATGTGTTGAACTTTACAATAATAAAAATATTTTACACCAAATTTAGTACAGTATTAGCGATTCTGGCAGAGCGAGCGTGCTCGTGGTGTCCCGTCCTCAGTATTCAGTATTTTTTGGTCAGTATTCAGTATTTGTTGAGCAGTATTCAGTATTTTTGAAGTTTAAAGTGGTTATAGCTTTTACTGCTGTATAGCCCTTGTGGCTTAGCGCTTCTTTTTGATTATAATAATAATATAGCTTTTACTACTTTCTCGTGTTAACTATTACATTTTCTGCTAGCTGAAAATGACGCTAATTAGTCAAGGATTTGATTATGTTCAACCGTACCAATACATCCAAAAGTAACCTTATCTATTAACCTAAGTGGTAACACTGTACTGTATATATATATATATATATATATATATATATATATATATATATATATATATATATATATATATATATATATATATATTATATTGCAGCTTACATTAGCGTTATCTTGTGTATAAAATAATAATATTTACGAACCTACATAGGGGTCACTTTTACTAAAAAAGATTATCAACAGTAAACCTAATCTAGGCTAGTGAATTCTACCATGATGGCAGTCATATACATTTTCCACCCCAGAATAATTTGAACGCCTGTGAACATCTATTTAATAATTACATTTGTAAATAGCATTTTGTTTCATGGCAGTACATGAGTCGTTCAATGTACGACTTACTTAATGTGCATCATATGACGAGAATCCACCTGATTTCTTTCCACATCATGCGTAAGAGTTAAATTCCTCGGGTATGCCAACACCATATGTGTTTACAGTATTGGTGTGGGAAGTTTTAAGTTCATGAAGCCGGACGCAATCCACGCCAGCTGGTATGTTTGGTGTTTACCACACCAGCTGGTATGTGTTTAGTGTTAACAACGCTAGTTGTCATGTGTTTGGTGTTAACCATGGTAGCTGGTATGTTTGGTGTTAACCATGGTAGCTGGTATGTTTGGTGTTAACCAAGGTAGCTGGTATGTTTGGTGTTAACCATGGTAGTTGGTATGTTTGGTGTTAACCATGGTAGCTGGTATGTCTGGTGTTAACCATAGTAGCTGGTATGTCTGGTGTTAACCATGGTAGCTGGTATGTCTGGTGTTAACCATGGTAGCTGGTATGTTTGGTGTTAACCATGGTAGCTGGTATGTTTGGTGTTAACCATGTAGCTGGTATGTTGGTGTTAACCATGGTAGCTGGTATGTTGGTGTTAACCATGGTAGCTGGTATGTTTGGTGTTAACCATGGTAGCTGGTATGTTTGGTGTTAACCATGGTAGCTGGTATGTCTGGTGTTAACCATGGTAGCTGGTATGTTTGATGTTAACCATGGTACTGGTATGTCTTGGTGTTAACCATGGTAGCTGGTATGTTTGTTGTTAACCATGGTAGCTGGTATGTTGGTGTTAACCATGGTAGCTGGTATGTTTGGTGTTAACCATGGTAGCTGGTATGTTTGGTGTTAACCATGGTAGCTGGTATGTTTGGTGTTAACCATGGTAGCTGGTATGTCTGGTGTTAACCATGGTAGCTGGTATGTCTGGTGTTAACCATGGT